TACAAAGTCTACAGATAAATAAGAGGTGTCTTTTGATTCAGTTCACTGATCTGACTAACTTTGTAATTACATGTTATGTCATAAATTGGACTCCTTTTCTGGTATTTTGAATTATTCATTTAAAGACTACAGCTTATTATACCAAGGTCAAGAGGTCAATCTGAATGAAACTCAGTGAACATTGTTGATGAATGTCCTTGATCAATGTTCATAACATTTGGAGACCTTTGGACCAATTCTGACCCACTTTCACTGAGGTCCTTTATGCTTAAAGGGCCCTTATGGGTCCATTGGGTCTGTTTGTCATGCTTATCAAAGGCTTTAACATGGAGAAACAAAATACTTTGCAAACGCAACAAAGACAGAAGTTTTACCATTACTCCTGTATTTCTTCAAACCTTTGTAGATCAGTAAATTGAAATGTCAACATATATTAGGTTTAAAGTCCCCTTCATTGTTCCTGACAAATGAAGGCCTTTTGATGAACTCAGACTCCTTTTCAGCCTCTCTGCCTCGAAGGCCCAAACTGCAGAAGGCCTGATTGGGCCTATTTGGCTCAAAGTGCATGAGAGCTTCTTGGGCTTATGCGTGCTTGGACCCGCTCATTGCCGCTTGCGGCTATATTCCTTTTTCTTCTTATTATTATTCTTTTTCTTCCCTAAAACAGTTTGTGGAGAAGACACCGTAAGTAATCCAAAGACCAACTTGGATGGTAGGTGTAGAATCCCCCCCCACTACTCAGGCAACTGAAATGACCCCAGTTGGTTGATGATGCCGCTATAGAGCAACAATTTACGTTTTGGCTCATATCTTCTGACCCATGGGGCACACAGTCAAAATTCTTGCTTTTACATAATCCTTGCTTTATTCTACATAAACGCTTCGCTGCATTCAGCTCCACCCCCACATTTTCCATCAGAATTGGCAAAATATGTGACATCTACATTTTTCTACTAGTCTGAGGTTTTTCAAGGTATCAACACAATATTGGTCTCAAAATGTCCAGGGGAGGCTGGAGGTCAAGAATTATCAAAAAATATGAATATTTTTAAGCAATATGGCTGCCACGTGCCAATTAAGCCCCTCTGGGTTTGGCTTAATTCACATAAATGGCTACAGAATTGCTTTGGCCAATTCTCATCAAACTTATCAGTCCTGTACCCCACATGATTCTCTGGAAGCCCACCAAGTTTGATATCAGTTACTGAATAGGGGGCGCTATAACAACCAAAATTCTGTTTCTCTGCAACTGCTTGGCCAATTAAGCTGAAACTTTGCATGCTGTATCCATGGCCTAATATTTACACGATCTATTAAGGACAACAGAATAATTGGACAAATATGGCCGCCATTGGCCAATACGCTTTCAACAGGCATTTGGAGGGCTTAGCATTGGCCAATGAACACAAAAATTATATCATGTGTCCACATAGGCAATCTCTAATAGCCTATAAAGTTTGACCTCAATTGGCCACAAGGTGGCGCTATAGAGCATAAACAAGAATAAGTCCTATAAATGTTATCATAGATGGAAGTAAATCCATTCATATTATTGCTTAAACTGAGTGACATTTGTCAAATACAAGTCTTCTAAAATTCTGTAAAGTTTTTCTTTGATCAATGTTTGAAAATTGAGCTTTTCGAACTAGTCTGTGGATTTTAAGACAATTGTTTCAATGTTGGTCTTAAAACAATCTGTGGAGTCTGTAGGTAAATAATTATCAAAATAAACCTTGATTTATTGCAAAGAACGGCCATGAGGCACCAATGAATCTGTTCTGCCTGGCCTTTTCTGACTTAGGGGGCTATAGATACTTTAGTGTTTATGTGATTGTGATAAAGCTTGGTAAACATTTACATTGCATGTTTCCTAAGAAAATAGTAAAGTTTCATTTAAATTGATTTGTCATAAGCCTCTACAATACTTAATCTAGTGTGTAATTATTAAAATTTAATTATATTCTTCTGTGATTGAAATAAAGAAAAGATAATGGTTTCAAATTACACATCTCATTAACTTCTAAAACATTGCAATTATATGTATGTTCCAAAATTGCACAGGAAATGTGGAAATTTGACTTAAACCCAGGTTGGCCACATAATCAGTAACGGTAATATCTTCTCTGCCCAGAGGGAGCATCAGCATTAAATGCAAATTATGTCTTCAAACATACTTATGGTCATAATCTTTGAAACATCTATCTTGTGGCAAAGGAAGTTTCTGAGTTTTATGTATTCCACCGAGCCAAGCGATTTTGCATATACAAGTCTTTTAAAAAAACTCTTTTGTGTTTATGTAAATTATCAGAGTTTGAAAATTGATGTTTTCATACTGCTTGCTGAAATGTTTTTGCATCGTCTCAAACTTGGTCTCCAAACAACCGTCAAAGTCTCAAGATCAATAATTATTTTAAAAATCTTGCCTTTTCAGCACAATTTTATTGCAAGTTATGGATCAATCAGTTCAGTCCAGCCTATTTGGGAAAAAAAGGGACCACAAATCTGTCACTTATGCTCTGATTGTGACCAAAATTGACATGTACTTTGACAATAATCAGCTGAGGAAACCTGTGACATTTGGCTTGAATTGGCTTAAGTTGGCCTTTTACAATGCTCAGTCTACTGCCAACAACCTAAAATGTAATTATTCCTCTCTAAGATTCAAATAAAGACATAACTATTGTTTCAAATTATGCATTTTAATGAGAATTAACACTTTGCAAATATGTGTAGGTTGCTTAACTGTACAGGAAATCATATAATTCGATTTCAACGAATTTTAATTAGAGCAAGAAATGTTTTATAATTCTCTGGCCACCAGAGTGAGCCAAATCAGTAACTGCAAATGTCAGTGTTGAAGTAATTAATAAAAAAAATATACAATTGGTGGAAAGCTTTACTGTATGTCTTTAGGTCAAGAACATTTCTGTACTTTATGCTTTCCACTGTGCCTGACAATTTTGCAAATACGAGTCTTTTAAAAACTCTATTGTTTTTATGTAAATCATCAGAGTTTGAAAACTGATGTTTTCATACTGCTTGCTGAAATGTTTTTGCATCGTCTCAAACTTGGTTTCAAAACAACAGTCGAAGTCTCAAGATTAATAAGTGTTTAAAAAATCTTGCCTTTTAAGCACAATGTTATTGCAAGTTATGGAATAATCAGTTCGCCCTGGCCTATTCTGAAACAGGGGACCACAAATTTGTCAGTTATGCTCTGATTGTGACCAAAATCAATTTGTATATTGATGATAATCAGCTGAGTCATTTGGCTTGTCATTTGGCTTGAATGGGCTTAAGTTGGCTCTTGCAATGTTCAGTTTAGTGCCAAAAATCTAAAATGTAATTATTCCTCTCTAAGAATAAAATAAAAACATGACAGTTGTTTCAGATTATGCATCTTAATGAGAACCGTCACTTTACAAATATGTGTAGGTTGTACTGTACAGGAAATCCTGTAATTTGTTTTCAGCAGATTTTGGTCAGAGCAACAAGTGTTTTTCCCGGGGCACCAGAGGGAGCCAAATCAGTAACTGCAAATGTCATTATTGAAATATTCATGGAAAGTTTTACTGTATGTCTTTTAAGCACATTGTGGCTTAAGATTGGAATACATTGATGTGAACTGTTCTCATTCTGCTATGAAACGCTAAAAATACATCAGTAATTGTCTGATTATGACCAATTTTGACACACATATAGAAATTGCAAACTGACAATGTATTATGATTTCAACTGGAATTATGCTACTCAATAGTCACGGTAATTGCAAGGTGAGAACTAATTCCCAAAATGGTGCTTGGTTATTTCTTGCTTCGTACCAATAAATTGTCTCAAAAAACAGGCTTCTGTGGGCCTCTTGTAGCTCACCATGAAAACATCCACCTTTGAAGATTAAGGTCATGGGTTTGATTCCCTGTCACAGATGTTGGATGGTGCTATAGCAATTGCTGTGAACACACAATTATATTAATCTTACTGAAGGGTCTTTCTTAAAAATCCAACGATTTGCTGCCTTCTATGACCAGAGACATGAAATTTGTTGCTGCTTTGTCCTAAAATGGTGCATGGTTCCTTGTTGCTTCCTTTCAATAAATTGTTTCAAAAATTGCAGGTGTGCCACAGATGTCTTGTGGCTCACCATGAGAGCCTCCGCCTTTGAACTGTAGGGTCATGGGTTCAAATCCTTGTCATGGATGTTAAACTGAGTTGCAGCAGATGTATCACCTAGTGGTCTTAATCATAAGAAAAGGAGATCTTTCTTAAAAAACTAAACATCCGCTACGTTCCACGACCAGAGGCCACTACTTTTCTCCTCGATGTCTTCATGGCGCTTGGACCCCGCAGATTGTCACTTGCGGCATATTTTTTTGTTTGTTTTGTTTTTTGTAACTGCATTAGCATTAGCAGAAATTTTAGTTGGCCAGGGGTGCCCAAAACTTTGCATACAACTGTGTGGGAGTTGAACTTGAGGTCTTTGCTAGGACGTCATGTGTTCAAGTGTCATAAGAAAAAATTCATTATTGATCATCCTCCTTTATTATTGGGTATCACTAACTAAGTGCTTCCAGCTTCTAAGCTTCTATTTTAGATAGTTTTAAACGCCTAAAAGGCAATTTAACCTGTCCTCAATCATGTTACTAGGCCCTCTAAACAGCTGACTGCTGAGCTTGAAAACATAGTTAAAACAGGAATTTTGATCAGGTTTCCCACATTTATCAGCCATATGAATAGACTGATTGAAAAAGAACCTTACAATGCCAACTTAGTTTGCAATTTTCAAGAACAAGCTTTTATTTTTAAGAATACAGACTCAGTGCTTTAACAGCCACAACAGTAGTCAGCACTAAATGATAAACTGCATAAGCGTAACCACCATTTCGACAACGATGTCAGTTCGAACTCTCTAATTCTAAGGCCTCAGAGTGTTGAAGCAATGTGATTGTTGCAAACTGGCCATAAAACTTGGCAATGCAATAGTGATGTGTTTGTGTCTGTAGATGTGTGTTCATGTGATGAAACAGAAGAAATGCCACTATATTGGGAACTGCTCTTTTGCGCACAGTTTGGAAGAGAGGGATGTGTGGACCTACATGAAGAACAACAGTTGTGAGAATCATGCTTTCTTCTCATTTCCCATTTATTTAGTCTGTAGCAGTATTGGTCTTGTTCTTCTAGACCTTATCTGTTTCAGACATTTTGTAGTATAGTTGACAGTATTATGAAAGCAAGTTATTAACAAAATTAGAATAGAATTTGTAATGTGTAAAATGGCAATGCATATTTGCATTTAAATTTCCCACTCATATGCAGTGTTGAGGTCAAAATGAATATTCAGGTTTAATTCTGCAATTTTAATTTGCCTTGTGGTATACTGGTATTGACATTTCAATTACACAAAGATTTAGATGCTTTAAATAGCTTTATTTAAATTAAAATGTATTTCCAAAACTGCATATTTATGCTTAATGTGACAATGCAATAATTGTCAAAATGATAATAATAAATCGGCGCCTCTCCTCTGCAGTTACATGTTCTTGCTTACTGCGCTCATCCTGTGTCAAAATATCTTTGGAAATGCATTCAACCAGATTTCATTTACATTGACTTCCCAACCTGTCAATCATCCTGTCAGAGCAGGCCCAAGAGCTCGCTCAGCAAAAAACACTTTATCTAAGACCATGGTGGCCCAAAAATGTATAGCCACTCTTACATTAGCAGATGAGTTAAAGAAGAGAGACATAGCCACTTGTGATGCTTAATGTTTATATGTGACCCCATGTTAATAACCCCATGTTAATTAAAGTTTTCTAATTTATCAGTCTGGTTAAAATGAGGCTTCTATTTTTTCAGCCTCTTTTTTTTATTTTCTGGTCCAATTTAAGCAGTGCAGCAGTTACATTCTAGTGCCACAATGTGCCTAAATGTTACAGCAGCACTGCTTAAGGTGACATGGAAAAAAAGAAGCCTCATTTTATAAACTGAGAATGGTGGCTGAAAGTGAGAGGCCAGACATACAGATTCCAGTTGATGCCATGTAGGGATATTTTCTACAAAGTGAGCATCTGAGGTGGATATATGGCTCTGCCATCAGCTCATCTGCTAATACACTACATGAATTTTCAAGAGATGCAACATTAAGCTAGCTAAAAGCCATGGTTAATGCTATCTAACGCTGCATTCCTAAGCTTTCCCATCTGCTGTTTTAATCAGCTGGCAAACATGATCTAGCTCACTGTGTCTCTCACACACATACCAGCAATTTTTGTAATATTAAATAAAAAAAGGAAAGCGGGGCATTAGAGAGTTCCTAACTGAATTTGATTGAAATATGCAACAGTACCGACACGGTACAGCAGCTGTTGCCAACTGTGACAAGTTGGTTGTGATTTATACATGCCTGTGTGTACCAGTATGATTACAAATAAATTATTTTATGAATACATTTTTGGTAACAAAGTGGAATACTGTAATTTATCCACATCTGATGCTCACTATGCAAGTTAGAAGATGATGCTGGATTTATCTGTATCTGCTGCATCTGTAGCCTACAGTCGACTGTGCTTTTGGCCCGTCCTGATGGGTTGATCACCAGGTTGGAAAGTTCATGAAAATGAAAATGCAGTTTGGCTGAATGCATTTTCAAAGGCATTTTGCCACAGAATTAGTGCAGTAGGTGAGAATATGTAATTGCAAAAAGAGAGGCTGTTTGCCATTTACATTTGAATTTTGCCCTCTTTCTAGCTTAGTGTTCTCTTTGATAATGCAGTTTAAATGCATTATTAGAGTGAAAAGGCTAATAAGACATAATATTTTATGATTGACACATTTATTGCATAATCACATTTAAGCGCAATTATGCAGTTCTGGAAATTTTAATTTTAAGCATCTCAATCTTTGTGTAAATGAAATGTCAATACTAGTATACCAATTAAAATTGCAGTATTGTATTTGAATTTTCATTTTAGGCTCACCGTTGCATATATGAGTTAAATACAAACATACAGATACATAGCTTTTTTACATATTACATTTTCATTTTGATACTGATGCTTCCACACAGTTTAGCCTAGCAAGAATGAAATAGATACGCAGATGTCGAAAGAGTCAGTTATGGTGTGTTAATGTCATTACACTTCTGGCAATACCAAAGAAGAACGTTTTCTTTTTGTATCCTCACAGTGAGAGACATGCAGCAGATGTATGATTTGTGGTTATCATTAACCAATCAGAACCGTCGATCAGATGGCACCCTGATAACTCCGCCTCCTGAGGAAAAACAGAGTACCTTGCCAGCTGACTATACAGAGTCAATGGTGGGTGGGTGGCTTGAAAGTGATTATCAGTTTCATTATGAATTATAGTTTTGATTTTGTAGTCATAGTATGAACTTGCTTTCAAACACTTGTTTATGTTTGTTATAAAGTGTAATGCCCCTTCACATGTGAATCTGGTCTTTAAAGTGATGGTTCCCCTTTTACCCCAAAAATAGTTGATCAGCTAAGATGTATTTGGTGTCCTACGTTTGCATCTTTAGTTTTGCACTGGAGCTTAAATGGTAGTGTAGCTAATAAATAATGAAAGTTTATACCTGCCGGTGAGCATTGTACAAGCTGCAAGTTAAATCATCACACGTACCTCAAAAGTAGCTTGCTTGTTTGGTATCGGAGGCTCAATGACTTACACTTGTAGCTATAAAAAATGTAACAGTATGTCATACTTTCAGCTATTTTTGGGATAAGAAGGAAATTGTGTAAATTTGATCTTTTGCCAAATCACTACTTTAAATGGGTTTCTGACTGGTCTGTGGCTTTGATTGACAGGGTGGGCAGCGGTTGTCTGGAAATGGGGATTTGTAATCCTGGCCAAAGCGTGACTAGCAGGCCAAGCAGCTACCTAGATGAGGCGTCTTACAAAAAGATCCAGCTGTCCACCAGATGTCAGTTTGTATGGCCTTGTTCCACTTTTTGGTGCAACTTCGGGAAGCGTTGTGTCCTCCTGTACTGCAGACAGCCTAACCGTAGGTCTAATGGTGTTTGTGAACATGCCCGTACATGCATTTCTTATTTATGGTCACATGCATTCATCGGTTCATTGTCTTTACATTTGACTGGTTATAAGAAAATGCACACCAGTCATTTGACAACCCATGGCCATTTTGAATTCCCAAACTGGTGTAAGCTTACAATTTAAAAGAAAAGAAAAAAAAAGTTTCCCTTCCCTGCTTGCTCCTCTTACAGTGCTGTTAAAACTTGCGCTCAGTCAAATGCAATCTGGTTACCCCACTGACTAGTACATTTCTGGGCCAGCTTCCTCTTCAAGACGTTTTCTCCTATTTTATTATGGTGCACCATATTAGACAGCAGAAAAGGTTACCTGTTCTTTATGAAGATGTTTGATTTGTCCCAGTGCTTTCTTAAATGAGTGGTGCATCACTCCGTATACTTGCCATATTGGCAGAACAAAAATGAATGTATAGCTAGCAAAAGGCCGTAAAAAAAAAGTCATTTAAAAGTTTTAAATGTGGAATGTATTTGACACACCTTGGCAAACAGTTACGTTATAACTTCAAATCACACCCCTTTTCCTCTGGCATTCTCCTTACTACTTATTGAACTAGCATGTAGGTTTACTGCTTGTGTAACTCCACCTGCCAGTCCTGCGTGCACATACTTGCGTTAACAGTTTGCACAGAGTGAGCTGTGAAAAGGGCAGTATTTTGTAAGGACAGTGGAGGGCACTGGAGATGTATTTGCACAAGGCATAAGGGCTGCTTGAGTCCAATCTGATTTATGCAGTTCAAAAGCTCAATTGTGGTATGTCTTTGAAACGAAAGGTGATCACTTTCACTGAGCAGTTTAAGGAGGGTAAATGATTAGAAGTAGTTTCAATTGAGCTTATACCCTGTGCTGTTGGAAGTTATAGAATGTTTGGTACTCACAGGGATATACTAAAATTTATTTTTTAATTCGTCACAGTTCAGATTGGGCCAGATCGCCTGAAGTTTTCCATAATTAAGTATCTATCAATTTCAGTTGAATGAGCAAAGAAGAAGGCAAATAAGCTCTTAACATGGTGCACCTATGCATAATTATAATCCCTCCAATAATATATCATCACAGTACCTTGCCTCCTTTAGTTAGTCTTGTCCATATCTATGGTGGACATAATGTATACACATACATATTTACTATATCGTATACTACTAATGATTATTGATAACTTAGCAGTTAAGCTTAAATAAATATAACCTGACCTTGTGTTGATTACATAGAATCTGTTATTAAGCTATGCTATATGACCTGTATTGCTGATTAGAAGATTAGTTTTTTTCCCCTTGGCTTCTGTAGGGGGTCATTCCAGGAAAGTCAAGTTTTGTGAGCTTTTTTTCAAACCAAACTACTTTAGATAGAAGATATTGATTGTAATAAATTTCCTGCTAAACACACTAACACCTAGTGCATGATGGAAATCTTGTATTTTGAGACTGTTCAGAGAAGAAGGCAGGATTTTATCAAGCAGGCTTTGGGTGTGAATGCATTATGAGCTGTGCCTCAGCTGTAGTGAATGAAACTTCCAAACAGCTTGAATATTGAATGAAGGACTTTATGGAATGACCTATATGTATGCTTTACTGAGGGATCTTATTATTATTATTATTATTATTATTATTATTAGTAGTAGTAGTATTATTATTATTATTATTATTACTACTACTACTACTACTACTACTACTGCTATTATTATTATTATTATGATAAGGATTGCTATTATGACTTTCTATCCTTCTGTATTCTATTGATAAATGTATATGTTCATTGGAATGTATAACTCTCTTTAAATATATGTACCCATGTATGAATCTAAAAACTTAAGTGAATTGTCTATGTATGCCGAGTGACCTTTACAGTTTAGGGAGGGGGGCTGGTGTAGATACATGTGTTTGAGGTTTTACAATGGTCATTAGTTGACTGGAAGACAAGTATAAATGGTTTGTTCTCTCAATTTTGCTATTAGACCCTTAGGTTTCAACTAAACCAAAAAGGTCCAATAGCAGTATGGGTTTATAGTTGGAAATTCTACTGGTAGTTGTATCATGTGTTTGCTTTTGCCCTTTAATGTCAGTGGTGGTTTAATAATTTCCTGTCAACATGTATAGTCCCTGACATTACTAAAATAATGGATATTTCCAGAACAGTTTGAGTTTAACTATAGTGAGAATAAATTGATTGTTGTTGTTTATTTAAATGCTTAGCTGATCCACTCTTGTTTTCCTCAGTCTTTGTGATGAAACCCTCAAGCACATGTATTTTCCAGGTGTATTATTAGGATACTAAGCATATATATTTTTGTTTGCATAGCGCTTTATACAATATAAACAAACAGTTATAAGAAATCTAACATGTATAACCTTTCTCCTACGGTGTATATTTCTATACACACTTAGACAACTTGCATCTGTTGGCTATCTGATGAAGTCAGAGACTGATGTTATAGGTTGTTAGGGGCATGCAGCTTGTCTCAGGCATTCTTCTGTGGACATGCAGTGACTTTTCAGTGGATTGTCCCATTTTACTAGTTCATGCGTTTGGCCTCAGGTTGACAATCCGCAAAAGTGTCACTTAGCCAAGAGAAAAGAACAAAGGTTTAGATTATAGAAACCGTCTCAATCATGGTAGTGGGTAAAAAGGTCATATCAAATGGTCAGAATCTCTTCCCATTGGCTAGAGCGAGCATCATCCAGTCAAACCAACCCCCATCAGTTTCAACTTAAGTTAACTTTATTTGAATGTGAACCTGCAACATTCTGGGTTTTTTTTGGAGTTTGACTTCTTCCCCAAGTATTTTAAGCCAATGGGGAAAGGTTGCACATGGTTAGATGACCTCTTGTGTTTCATACTCTCTAGCATTTATCTTGAATCTGAGATTGTAACATGGTAATCTTGACCTGAAAATTCCATATTCACCCTGAATAGGATTTCTTGTCTTTCGAACAGAACACACATACACGCAATGGATTTATCACGATGCTGTTTTCTGTCAAGATGAGTTATTTTTCAACTGCTTAATGTAACTGATAAAAATCTGGGTTTTGGGGGAAAAAAAGAAACATTGCCTCTTTTTGTACTGTATTTTTACATTTATGTTTTTGTTCTCCTTTTTTGCTCCCTGGTTGGAAATGAATAATGATCACAGTGGACCAAATCTTGTGAGTGTTTAACAATAAACAGACTGTTTTAGAAAAATGTGTTTTTTCTTCTTAAAATGACATCTGATGAAACATAACACTCCAGAATTACAGCTTTGGGAAGCTGCTAGGTGATCTTATTGCTTATAAAGCTGATTAGGCGTTATGGGCAATAAATTGACTATTTAGGCCAGTTATTAGTGGTAAAGCCATAACTAGAACATCAGTGTTTCCAAATCTGCAGAAGAGTCATTAAACTGATTTATATAGCATTTTATTTCTTGGTGTGACCTTATAGAGTAACTAGATGTCGTCCTCTGGCGCTCCCATTGCACTGATCTAGCCTAGTAATGGAGCTTTAATACATGGCTATCACGCTGTTCTCTACAAAGCAGTGAAGGGAATGAGACATGGGCTCCTGTGTTGGCACATAAATTCGGATGAAACTTATTTGGATCGGGCACTTCAACATCAATATCATGCTAAGTAGTGAGAATGAATATGTAAAATTATCCATGCACTTATACATTTGGGATTGCAGCCTAATCTATTTCAAATTATTCAAGTACATCAGTATTTTAAATTTCACATTTTACTATCACAACACTAAATAAAGATTTTGTTTCAGCAAATTGATTCAAGACATTTTAATGGTCACTTGTCGAAATAAAAGTTAATCTTACAGCTGTAACCTATAGTTTTATGAAAGAAGAACACGTGTCGAATTTAACCTAGAGTTCAGTATTTAATAACAGGAGTACAGTGGTTATCACACCGTAATTTCATAACAGCGAAGTAGACCGAGGTGTTTGCTTGGATAACTTGTGTTCGTTTGCATTGGTTGCCATTTGGAGTATGCATAGTTCCGACAACCAATCACAAACCAAACGTCACTGAATATTCATCATCGGAGAGTCTCTGAAGACCTTTATTGGTCAGGCTCGGTCTCCATGTAAATAAGGTCTTTTAGGCGGGTCTAGTTAAGTAACAGCGTTAGTGCGGAATACAAACCTTGTGACTGTTAGAATGTTTTAGATTCTTATGCGTCTGTCCAAATGTTTCTGAAGATATCCTGACATTGTTTTCTCCCTTTGGAAACATTGACAGATTTGTCTCCCAGTTTTGTTATATTGGTTAACGTGATTTTTTTTTGAGATGTCTTCAGATATTCCGGAGATATTCAAGGCTTTGCTCGAGCACCCCTTCTCAGTACCCACCTTTAATGAAAACGGTAGGATTAATAGTGGACGCTATAAGCTGTTTTTTTACTATGATCTATGCACTACACATTTGCTGACTTGGCAAAAATGACATCTTTCATTTTGGTCAGATCTCAGTCTGAACTGTACTGTAAAACATGGACTGTGTTTCACGATTTGCGTGATTTTAGTGTGTTTTCTAAACGGTTTGGAATAGAAATGATTAGAACTGGTGATTGTATAACTTAGCTTGTTAGCTAGGTTTTCCTATCAACTTGACCATTTTCTTGGTGTTAAGGTATCATCGTCAATTGCCTTCAGTGTTATTTCAACGCACTGTCTTAAGACACTTGGTTCTCCATTGCTGCTAATCTTGTATTCCTATTCTTCTCTTGGTGATTTCCCAACACTACCACTGTTTCTGTATGGGAACCCGCCCACAGACAAATGGTCGGTTTTTTATTTGTACTGGTTAAAATGACTACTGTTTTGCAGTAAATCCCATAGGAGAGCACACTTTTTCCATGTCGAGTTGATGGCGTTATCTCTTCCATCAGTAGTAATGCATACATTTGTCAGTCTTTGTCCTCGCTTCTCACTTTTTTGGGCGTTTTGTGTTTGACTAAGCAGAATTTATGCTACACTATGACTGCGCACCGTCAAGTGTCTTAGTTGTAGTTCTCTATACTAGCAAATTATCTGCATTTGGGCTTCGGAGTAACTGCAACACAGCCTCATCGCTCAAGCATGTTTTATTTTGGTCCGATTCTGGAGAGAAGTGATGCAATATCGAAATGCAGCGAGACTTATCAAACTTGTGAGAAGCATATCTTACAAATTAACATGTCGGTCTGTTTTATTTTTAAAAATGACCAAAAAATCTGGCTTTCATTTCTGCAGAATCACGGCTCTGCGCACGCGTTGTACGTCACCACAGCACATGTACGGCCACGTGTGCGCCGTCCACGTTGTTTTTCTTTGTCTAGTCGGCCAGAAAAAAAAAAACTCTTATGTTCCTTTTTTTAATGAAAAGAGTGAGTTTATTCCGATTATAAGAGGTTTAACATGAGCTGTAGTCTGCGTTTGTAGTTGCTTGCAGTGTTTTTACAACTGGACGTTCTTAGTTGCTCTGCTAATTCCTTGCTAGTGTAGAGTAGTGGAAGTTTTTTTTTCTTCACACGTTTTGCACCTCTGATACGTTTTTCCAGTGTTCTCGGCGAGGCATATATGTAACACTTCTGGTCATCCAATGGCATTTGACTACAGTGAGGGAACACCTATTTTAAAGCGTGTGCGAGAGGGGGTTCAGTCCCGAAATGGCAACTCCGCCGTCCGGAAATGGCACATACTGGCATGTGCGACTTAGCAAATGGCACCTGACACCGACAACTGGTAACGAGTGGCACATGCCGCTCGTGCCACTCGGTTAGTGGCACTCGCCAGTGGCACCTGCCACACAGTAACGGCGTGTGCCTCTCAAAACAGGCACATACCAACAGCTTCTGTGAGTAAAGCAAAGACTCTGGACAACGGCTACTCGGCTGGGCTAACTAGCGGCACATCATAGCTCCACCATCGGCAATCAGAACCTGGGAAAAGTCATTGATGAATGTTGACCTAAAGACTCTGTGCAGATAGTCTGTCATTTTTGGCTTTTGTTGTGGCACGGAGAGCTGAAGAAAGCAGCTCGTTTTACAGATGTACTCGAACTAATTACTGAATTCATTGCGGTGTTATTCATGCTAAATCTAAAGTATGTATAGACTATTTGTCAGCGTATTTATTAAACAGGACAAGAGGAACCATGCCACTTTGGGACTGAACCCCTGCAGGCGTGTGCGTCCGCCTATTTGTCTTTGGGAACGGTGCATAAATTATACTGAAAATGCTAACTTAGTTGGCCTTTGCGCATCATTGCAATGTTTTTGTGGCGATTAAGCCTGGGTTTAGTGTGAATATGACTATACTGGCCTCATGGAAAATCGGGTCAAACGGCGGAGCTTCTAATACAAAGCACAGTAAAGACTTAAGCTGTTGGTATAGTGAACAGAAATTAGCCATTAAAAGTAAATTTACAGTTAGCTTACAGTGTGTAACACCGAGGGATGAATAAAATGTCAACGGAACCGGTAACAGTTTGGACGAGGGCTTCGGTACAACGGCTGCGTTTCCAGTGGTGTTAAAGAAAATACTGGAGACGCCTCCAGCTAATCTGTTCTCACGTGACGACGGTGAGTTACGAGGATTTAGTACCCCTCAGGTCTGAGTTAGGTTTGACGTATCGAGCGAAGCAGAGTGAGCAAGAAACATGGCTATGTACAGATAAAGAGATAGATCTACGTGTGCCGTTTTTCAAGTTTAATACGATTTTCGAATCTGAGGTCAAGATTCAATTCCATTTCTTGTACTTTATATATCGATTCTACCGAACTCCATTTTTATACCACACGGAGTGGTTTGGCTCAGATAAATATCAGCAAATGAGCGAAACTCAGACGAGACTGAGTACAGTTTACAAATTTGAAACACTGTATTCTGTGTTGGAATTTGACACAACTTATGCTATTATTTTTGCCAGAAAGGATTACTTGGATATTTTAAGTGTTTTACATTTCAGCCCTTATAGTTTGTCACAGGCCTGTGCATAGACATTTTCGGGCCAGGGGGAGGGAGAAATCATGAAAACAAATGAAACTTTATTAAAGCTAATCTATGTGAGTTGTTTGTTTGTTTGTTTGTTTGTTTTAAAATTGAAATTAGTAGCCTTACTGAGTGAAGAGGAAAACATGCTAAAGTATGTTGTCCATGCCCTGCTGTGAGTCACCCTGTATAGCCTGAGATAATTTAAAAATCAGAATGTTGAGTCAGATTTCGCTGTAGTTTTTTGCACCACATTATATGTCTTTATGCAGTAACATCATACACACGTGCTCAAAAAGAATGTTCGGCTTGATATTTAGGTCTCGGTTGCAAAATCAACATTTATATTGATGAAGATATGACAATAGTAGATAATTCATTTACATCATTGGACAAAACGTCCTTTATCAAGTTCACTTTAAATACTATATTAGCGAGCTTACATTCATCAGATTCATTTGTTCGGGGGCTCTGAAGCACAACCAGTGTTACAAAATTTTCTTCAGCACATTCCATGCAATTACACATTTACACAAGAGAGCTCCCCAAATCCTTAAATCATTTTGCTTTAACTAAAGCTTAATTTACTGTATCAATACAATGTGTATGTATTACTCACTTTTATGAAGAGAGCCAGCCTAAAGCACTAAAGATTGTATTACTGGTAGGCTGTGGCCATAACCTACTACATTATTTAGTTGCTATGTAGTATTTAGTTAAAACCCTATTTAGGAGCTCCAGAGAATCTCATGTCAATCTCTGTTTTTACAATGATAAAATTTTGGTGTGGTAAATTACTAACCCCTCTTATTGTCAACATTATGTTTGGTTGTTCAAAATAACCATTTCATGGAATGTGATGCTTTCTTTAGGAGATTATCAGCATTTTATTTCTGTACTGTGGTGAGTCACTGAGGTGAACCACAGGTGGTTAGTACTGCACCAGCAAGGGTGCCCAAGAGTTGGAGCCTCATGGAAACTGATCTCAAAAAATCGTGGAGCGGATAGAAAATGCAGTTCTTATGCACACAGACCAAGGTGACATTTAAACAGTCTGAGGACAAATGGACAGGGCTTTGGGAACTCCAAAAATATTTTTGGCTAATTTCGTTAATTTTGGTATTTTGGTATTTCAGAAAATGAGAAAGAGAAGCTGTCAGGGGATGATGTGGATGGTGGAGGAGGGGTCAGTGGGCTTGGGCCATCAGCAGCCTTGACCCCTGCTATTTGGGAGAAGACTATTCCCTATGATGGTGAGACTTTCCACTTGGAGTACATGGATCTGGAGAAATTTTTGATGGAGAATGGTATTCCTGCTTCAGCTGATGAAGCTCAACAGAAAGGACTTGCCAAGAAGAACTCCCAGCAGACACTTGCGAATCCACCTGCTGCCATCCTAAAGACAGAACCAACCCCATCAGCCCCAGTTTCTCTGCTGCCAATCATGGAACTTGAGCAGTGTAAGGAGGAGGTGATCACAACCACTGCATCAAACTTACAATCAACAGAGACTAAAACAGGTCAGTACTAGTATAGTATGGTACAGTCCCAAAGGAATAATATTTAACTTTACTGCAGTGAACATGCAGCATATAAAACAGTTTGACATGATTTTGTTTACTTCTAAATAAATAAATTATGCAGAAATTTTTCACAAAGTTACATTGTAAACATTTTTCAAAACTTCTGCATAATTAATTTATTTAGATGTCAGTGGCAGACAGATACATGTGGGACATTTGGAAGGCAAATTTCTAAAGGTTGAATCCAATACAGTGGTAATAATAATATAATGGAATATAACCAGTATTTGTTTTGGACTTAAAGTAAACCTTAAAGTGAAATAACTATTGTTGTTACTTAGCAGCATAATACAGTTATGGTAAAAATAAAACATTCTATTATCAGATAAAACAAAAAACAAAAATTGATTTTTAACTATACAGCATAGTACATTCACATAGTTTCAAGAATCTCAGTTCCTCTGTCAAAGACTCAGAATTGTTTGCATGCATGTACTGCAGAGTAGACAGTGAAATAACAGGTTTCTACAATTTCCAGAATGTCTGAATTGTTCTTTGTGACGCTCTAAATATGATAGAATCACACAATTCAGGCCTTATCACTGACAAAGACCGCATGATGCCGGAGCCCATTAAACCAGAGGACATTGAGGTGGAGGTGAACTTTGAGCTGGATCCCACAGACCTTGTTCTGTCTACTGTACCTGGAGGAGAACTGTTTGACCCTCGAAAACATCGCTTCACTGAGGAGGAGCTCAAACCACAGCCCATAATCAAGAAAGCCAAGAAAATATTTGTGCCTGAAGAACAGAAGGTAGGCTTATACACTGTCGCAATTTACATCAAGATGAAGATTTATAAATGAATCATACATTTAACTTTAAAGCGTAAGGGCTCATATGTAGGTTCACACTTATTTTTCAATCTCAGGACTTACATATTAGTTTCATAGTAGTTACTGAATAGTTATAGTTTTAAACAGCAAGGTTGCGTAGTTGGAACTAACTGTTGCATAAATGTTCTTGCATCCCAATGGTCATTTTCACAAATGATTTCAGGATGAGAAATACTGGCAGAGAAGGAAAAAGAACAACATTGCAGCTAAACGTTCGCGAGATGCCCGACGGCTAAAGGAGAATCAGATCACAGTCCGAGCAGCCTTTCTGGAACGGGAGAACTCTGCACTGAGACTAGAGGTGGCTGAGCTGCGAAAGGACTATGGACGCTGCAAGAACATTGTGACTCACTACGAAGCCAAATATGGACCACTGTAAGAGACAGATAATGTAAAAGCCTGCTAGATGATTTATATTCCCAAAACAACACGGTCAGCAAATTCACCCCCCTTCCCTTGACTAAAGTGAAGCCTTTTTTGTAGTCACATTTTGTAGACGCACATGCCTGCAGAAAGTAATAAATTAATATATAAATAGATATTGTCTCAGTGTGAAAGATATTATAAAGGACAAAATAAATGACTTGTAGCAATAAAAACACTCAGCCCAGTCATACAAAGCAGTGCATTTTGTAGCAACTTATAACATTGACAGTCAGCAAATGTAGATGAATTAACCACATTTACATCCTGGACCACTCAAAGAAGAGTGAGCTATGTTTTCACCTTGCAACCCCATATTTAAAAGTTTATTCTGCTTAACACAAACTGAGCAGAAATCCTACATGATGCATGCAGTTGTATGTACAAGCCCAATTCCAAAAAAGCTGGTATAGCAGGTAAAACGCACATAAAACCAGAAGCAAATTATTTGTAAACTGTCTTTTACAGGTATGTAATAGAAAAAGCATAAAAGAGACATTTAATGTATTACCTAACTCTCTTTATTAATTTTTGTAAATATACATTAATTTCAAATTAGATGCCTTTAACATATTCTAAAAATACTGGGACACCAGCATTGTAAGACTGGCAAGTTTATGCAGTGGTCTAAAACATCTGTTTTGAAATGTAAGTAACAGGTGATGCTAATTTGGTATGTAAGGAGTATTAACAAAATGAAAGCAAGAATGAGTCAAGGTTTGCCACTTTCCCTAAAACTGCCAGAGCAAATAGTTCCAGTGGAAAAACAACTACATCTCCGTGGATAACCGAAACCAATATTAAATGCCCATGGCTTTCGATCCATCAAAAGGCACTGCTTTAAAAACCAACATGCTTCTGTAATGAATATAACCACATGAACTCAGGAATACCTTGGAAAACCCTTGTCAGTAAACACAGTTCATCAACAAAAGCAAGTTAAGCATCTGTTTTGGTATGGGGTGTGGCATGGGTAACTTGCACATCTGTGAAGGCACCATTAATGCTGATATATACACATGCATTTAAAACCTATATATGATTCCATCTAGTCGTTTTAGGGACATCCCTGCTTGTTTCAGCAAGAGAACGTCCTGCACATGGTTGCAGTTTTCCATTGAAAATGTGTGGCACATTATGAAGCACACTGTACAACAATAGAGACCCCAGACTGATGAGCAGCTGAAGTGTTATAAAAACCAAAAATGGGGAAAAAATTCCACTTTCACCACTACAATTGGTGTCTTCAGTAGAGCTGTCATGATCATGCAATTTTAGCTGACAATTATTTGTCATATCAAATATGTGATCAATTAATTGTTTTTTGTTCATTGTATGCAACCACTAAAGTAGCAGCCTAAACGTGGCCATATTAGCCATCTTGCTTCTGTGTTTACTAGGTAGCTAACACTATTAAGTAAATTATATACTACATGGTTGTGTGCGCACACACAAACAAATGTCTATTTACACAGAATCATGTAAAGCAAAAGCAAAGCTTCGATTTTTCTTGAGGGTCAAAATGTAAGCAAAAAAAAAACTAAAAATTTTAGATCAAACTACATAGCTAACACATAAATAAACATTATTCAGTGCTGCCCTCTAAATATTTTACAGCACAAGTAAGAGATAGAGAAGTTAGAGATTTCTTGTCTTTATAAGCCCCATGTTGTGTCTTAATGCATTTACTGCTTTCTTTTATTTACATTTACTTGCCCATTTATCATTTTGCTTGGTGTGATATGATATGACTTTATCTCTAATGATTGTAGATAATGATTGTGATAATATAAAATAATTATGATTAGGCAATTATGTAATGATTGTGACAGGCCTAGTAATAATTACTGAGCATTGTTAAAAAGAACAGTGATGTAACACAATGGTTAACATGCCCCTGTCAGAACTTTTTTTGGAACATGTTGCAGACATTGAATTTAGATTAAGTGTATATATATCAGGGTTCCCCAGTAGGCAGCCCGCAGGCCTGATGTTAATCCATTGGACACAGGTACACATATGTACGTTACTGGGGCCAAAAGCTCACTCTGTGGACATGGGGCATGAAGTTGTACTTGTACAAAAACCATGGCCAGTGCTATAGAACGAAAAGTTAATAATGAAAATAGACACCTGAGTTCTGTTTGGACCGAAGAATTTTATTTTACCGAACAATACTAATGTTGAGCCGACTTGTTTGCTATGCTCTTAAAATGTAGCTATCTGCAAGGTGGCTAATACTAAGCGGCACTTCGAAACTTCAATGAAACCTGGTGAAAATCTGAGATTTGAAAACAAAAGACTGCAAATTTGATTGCCTCCTACAACCATTCTGTTACCACCATCCACAAAACTACATCTGGCAACATCTCTGTGTGTGTTGTGGAACTTTGCAAAAGCTAAGAAACCTTTCACGGATGCTGAGTTGATGAAGTCGTGTGCAATTGATATGATGGAAGAAGTTTTAAGTCATGCCGAAAAAACAAAACAGTTGTTGAAGCAGGTGACACTATCAGACAACACTGCAGTGAGAAGAGTAGAAGCAGAGAACTGCCTGTCTGCTCTGCTCCCTGATTTAAAGAAAGCTGATTTCATGTCACTCGCCACTGAGTGTGTTTACATGCACTTAATAATCCGATAACTGCAAAAAATCAGGTTTTGTCAGTAATCCGATCAACGCGTTTACATCCACTTGAGTAATCAGATAATGGAAAAACTCTGGGTCTACATGAGTCAGACGATAATCGGATTTTGCTTTGCCACCAGCCAATAAACTCACAGAAGAAGACATAATGTAAAACTCAAACTTCATGCCGTTTTTTTTTAAAACATCACACCACTTTACCTGAAAATACAAACATACATCATCTAGATTTGAATCTTTCATTTTGTCAAGCAGGTAGCTGGTTTTCAGCATTGCTCCAAAAATTGTTTGCTTGTGGCAACGCTGCTTGCTTATTTCTGGTACTGTGGTCTGTTTTCACACACGTGCAGACTGAGAAATCCAAAAGAAATCAGAGTAAGTGTAATACATGCACTGGGAAATCAGATTACTGAGCTAAAATCCAGCTCTTTTTATCAGATTTCTTAATTAGATTTCTAGACAGCAAGAAATCAGAGTATGCTGTTTTCATGACCATTTGAATAATCAGATAACTGCAGAAATCCAGTTATGATCGGATTATTGAGTGCACGTAAACACACTCCTTGATACATCTTGTGATAGAACGGACATAGAATACCTATCTGTGAGATTTTTTGATGGGAGAGGTTTCGGGAAGAACTGTTTCGTTTGCTCCCCATTCAAGGACACCGGCAAAATCATTTTTAATGAACTGACCCAGTTCATTCTGCTGAATTTGCAATTGCAAAGCAAGAACCATACCATTGTGGACATGTACGAGTTGATGCTTTCTGCTTAAAGTTGGAGTTGTTTGAATGAGATCTACAGGGAAAAAACAGCACTTTCCAAAACTGCAGCAACACAGAAAAACAAAATGCAAGAAAACTCTGACTGTGATGTGTGTATTCATAACAAGACTGCTAGAGAATTTCAAGGAGTGTTTTGAGAGCTGGAATACTCGTGTTTTGCAGATGGCCAGTGGATTGCTGAGGCCAGAATGTGACTTCCTTCTCTGGATGAAGCATCTCTTCAAATGGAGATGTTGGAAATGTCAAAATAAAACTTGCTCAAAGAGCAGCACAAGCATGATAGCATGAGTGAGTTCTGGATTAACATGGTTCTCCAATTCAGACAAGCAAAAATGATTGCAGTGCTGCCTCTTACAATATTTTCCTCCACCTATATCTGTGAAACATTATCAAAAGCCAGGACAGGAACAGATTCACCGTCAGAGCAACGTCCCAACTTCAGGTTATTTGTTACTCTGGTGAGTAACAAATAACTGTTGTTAGGCCTACCTAATTACATACACTATAATGATAATAATAATAATAATGATAATAATAATAATAATAATAATGAGTACTGCAATAAAAAATATGTACCGTACTGTATGAAACAGTATCAGAATGACACACTGACCCTTGCCTTTGAGATGTTAGTTGAATGTGGCTCTTGATGACAAGTAATTGGGGACCCCTGGTATATTTACAAAAAAACAATAAAGTTCATTAGTTTCAACATTAAATAACTTGTCTTTGTTCTGTTTTCAACTGAACACAGGTCAAACAGGATTTGAATTTTTTTTCCTATTGTCCCAATTTTTTTTTGGAACTGGGTTTGTAATTCACAATATTACAAATACTGGCAATTTTACTGTTATGGTGGTTGATCTTTTTCAAGTGCCCCATCTGAAGACCACTAGATGGTTTTCTTTACACTGTGGAGAGGTAATACACATGGCTTAAAGCAAGGAACACTTCTGTGCCTGAAATGTGTCAGGGGGTTAGGAGAAAAAATGGAGGGAAGGCGGGTTTGCGAAATGAAGAAATAAACTGATGTTTACTAACAAAATTGAAACAAATAAACTATAAAAACAGTAAAATAAGTTGTGGAAAAATAAAAATTGCGCCCCTCTTCCCATGCTGGGGCTGAATCACAAATGGCTCCCTGCTCCCTACATAGTGCACTACATAGGAATTTAAATACTGTCTCTTGTTGGGGTGCAGGAGACAGTATTTAAATTCCTATGTAGCGCACTATGTAGGGAGCAGGGAGCCATTTGTGATTCAGCCACATCCATACTCGACATATAGTGCACTATTTGGCCGTAGAAACTAGAATGTCAAAACTTCCCTAGCATACTATTTTGGGAGTACAGAGCTGTTTGAGATTTAGCCTGGGTTTGATGCAGCTTAAGGCAAATCTGACTAAGACATTTGAAGCAAGTAAGCTATTCAAGTGACATAGACTTCTATATTGCTGTTTTAAAGTAAATCATAAGTACTTTAATTCAAGCCTGTGATATTAATGATGCAGTTCTTTATCATGTATGCAATTTTTTTAGCCTGTTGGCTTGCTAACCAGCCTAGTTGTTTAAGAAAATTTCTTGTCAGCCCCTTAGTTTTAACAGAAACAAGTTCTTACTACATTAGTAAGTACTTCATTGGTGGTCCATGTGAGCAGCATTAGAGTCAAAGATTACTCCGTTAACAGGGCAAAGTTTTTTTGTGACGTGGTGCAGTACTGATACAGAATTCAGTTGTTGCAAGGCGGTCATAGGCATGCTTGTAATAAGTATTTTACAATGTTTTTGAACACAATTCAGGCAATCAAATTTTAGGACCACAACTATTTTTTTTAAAATGGCCTTGCATCTTTAAGTCATGAATTCATTGTAGAAGCATTCCATGCAAAATCCATTATATGTGATTTGGTACTATAATGTTGGTGTAGAGGAATTTACCCAGCATGTCCTAATCCCTTTTATATTCTGTACCTGGAAATAAAAGTAAATTTGATGGAAGTAAAAGTATATTATTGGTCATGGTTTCTGATTTGAGACAGGGGAGAGAATGTAAAGAATGGGCTATTTGTGAGAGTTGTTACAGAAAAACCCAAATTTCAACAGATATATCTTAGCCCAGAATGCTAAGTGTATATGCAACTCATTTGCTGTTTACTTGCATTGCAAATCTTAGAAGTCTAGAGTCATTGTCCTTTTTCCTATACTACTCAAATGTTATTACGTCTTATCATGATTAAATTCATTATATAACTGTTATTAAATTCTGCATCAAAAAGATCATTTCAAAGTCAACAAATGACAATTATATGGCAAAAATTGATATTTTTCCTTACCACAAAACAAAGAACCTTTCATCAAATTTAAATGCTATTTTCCACTTACAAGTCATACGACAACAAACTCACAGTCCGGAATCACATATGAAACAATGGATTGTGAATTGATAGCTGAAATGTCTTATTTTTGCTGCAAATGTTCAACTGGATATAATTATTCAAGGCAGGACATAAAGTATTCTTCATTTAAGAAACATTGGCTATGAACATGACTGTGTTGTGAGCAGATTTTCAGTGTCCGTGTCCATGACTATATTACATATACCCTAAGCCTGTACAGTATTTTAACTGCAGAGATTTTGTAGCTGCAAGCTTTGTAGTAATAGCTCAGATCAAAACAGTATAAAATCATGTGATCTGGCAAATAGATTATACTGTATGTGTTCTGTAAATGCTACTTCCTGTAAAGTGGATCTCTGCAATAGAGATTAATGTGAGAGAAATGTGCTGAGGTCAGCACAGATAATTTGGCAAGGGTGGGCTCAGCCAATAGGTGGGGAGTGCAAACAAAATTTGTAAACAGTCTCTTCCATGTAAATAAGAATTCCTGCTATGGCTTGGCACCACCGACTGCAAATCTAGTTTTGTTTCTTTCTACATGTGTAGCAATAATGTATATATGTGGGTGTATGTATATACTCACACACACACACACACACACACACACATTTTTTATATATATATATATATATATATGTGTGTGTGTTATAAACCATCAACACCATGCTTCTAGTGCATTTTATATGAACGAATATTAAAAGGTGCAACGCTGATTCTTTCTTTTACCGATATACTGGCACTGTTTGGGCTCAACTTGTTCTCCAGACCCTAGAAAAAACTTGTATGATGTAAGAAAGGCAAAAAAACTGCTTTCAAATCATGATAAATTGGTGTATTTGGAACTGACGTTTGTGTCTGTAAAATCGGTATTCTTGAATCGCCACTTCAGTGAACTTGCTTTTCATATTTATGCACATTAATGTGTCCATGTTAAAAAGCAAAAATCATTCAGAAAGATGATCCATTTTTTTAAATGTGTAACTGTTCACAATTGTCCTCTTTACGTAAGAAAACATCTTGTTAAAGATTCCATGTCATGACCTATTTCACAACTATCAAAGAAACGTCAGATTCTGTAGTATAACCTTTTATTATACTGAAAAGACAATAAAAAAAGGATCCTTTTATAGGGAAAAAAACTTAAAATCACATCTGAAAGGTCGTCTTCAGAGTTCCTACAAGGCTTCACCTCTTTTTGAAGCCATACTTTTTTCTCTCATAAAAGAGATCAGTCTTAGAGCTGCCCAGGTTCACAATCTTGGGGCAGCCATCGCGCTGTGTAGAAGAGAGGGCAAAAGAAAAAATAAAGCTAAGTCATAAGAACTGAACACACAAACTAATACATATACATATACATATACACACACCTCCTTGTTTGTATGCTCATTTTATCAGCTCCACTTACTATATAGGTGCACTTTGTAGTTCTACAATTACAGACTAGTCCATCTGTTTCTCTGCATACTTTGTTAGCCCCCTTTTACCCTGTTCTTCAGTGGTCAGGACCCCCATGGACCCTCACAGAGCAGCAAAGTAACACTGATGTGGTGGTGGTGTGTTAGTGTGTGTTGCGCTGGTCTTGAGTGGATCAGACACAGTAGTGCTGCTGGAGTTTTTAAACACCTCAGTGTCGGTGCTGGACTTGGAATAATCCACGAACCAAAAATATCCAGCCAACAGCGTCCTGTGACCACTGATGAAGGACTAGAGAATGACCAACATAAACTGTGCGGCAGCAGATGAGCTATCATCTCTGACTTGACATCTACAAGGTGGACTGACAAGGTAGGAGTGTCTAATAGAGTGGACAGTGAGTGGACACTGTTTAAAAACTCCAGTAGCACTGCTGTGTCTGATAATGTTATGCCTGATTGGTGAGAGAGTGTGTGTGTGTGTGTGTGTATATATATATTATACATACATATACATATATATATATATATATATATAATATATATATATATATATATATATATATATATATAAATAAATAAAGGGGTGGGAATCTCTAGGCACCTCACGATTCAATTACGATTCAGAGGGCTGCGATGTGATTATAAAACAATTATTGATGATTTTTTTTCTATTCAGGATTTCTATCTTCTTACTGTGTCAGGACTTGGTACTTTCAAAGCAAAGTATTTGTAATGATCTGTAATGCATTTACTTCCAATATCTTCTATTAATAAATCAAATGGAAGTGATGTGGCAAGAGAACTAGAAGGCTCTCATTCACTGCTATTGCTTGGAGCACATGAGACGCTGCCACTCATCTGCGACAAAATGCGCAGTTACGGTGAAATAAGATCCAGTGGCAATAGATGTCCACGCAGCACGTTACAGCCATCCTGCCCGTTTTCATTAGTGATTTTATAACTTCGGTTTTGGTCTCGTTATAGAGAGTGGGGGGGGATCGCTGTGTCAGTAAAATATCTTCGGGACGTGTGCAACATAGCACGAAAGCCCTGTTTCGCAACGACTGAGAACTGGCGTTCTCCGACTGCAGGTCACCTAGCAACGATGCGTTATTTGCATTCATAAGCGCTGCTGTTGGTTTACTTGCAATCTACATCTGCAACGAGAGACTATCAAACACTAAAAAGTTGTGAAGATTAAGTCGCTTCCCGTTTCACCTTAAATGGTGCCGCATTTACATTCGGCACCTCAGTCAGAATTTAAGGTGAAACAGGAAAATTCGAACAAGAAGCTGGAGCGACTTAAAGAGGCGACTATAGCTAAAGCTGAAAGCAGAGCGAAGTAAATCCGTGTTTTCATTTATATTTTAACCTAACTTATAGCAGGACACTGAGACATACTGGACATAAATGTTGTGGCTGCCAAGGTGGTTTGATTTTTGTTGAAAGAACAACATGGCTCTTCTTATCATTTGGGTTCTGACTCCTGACCTAACCTGACTTTTAATGCAGAGGGAGCCGGTCGAATTTCTCGATCATCCATGTGTGTTTTTGTTATGTGCACCTCACAGAGTGTCCGGGCGCTGCACTTCCACACTTCCAGGTTCCGCCTTTTGCATTCCGTCAACTTTACGGTATATATTAAATATTTAGAAAATCGATTTTTGACATTTGTGAATCAATTTAGAATCGTTCACGTCCGCATCGCGATGCATCTAAGAATTGATTTTTCCCCGCACCCCTAATAACAAATTAATTATATATATATATATACATATATAAATAATGAGGTCATTCTACAGAAACATCCACTTTTCTAGCTATCCATAGGTCTCACTGGGGTTACCCATCCTCACTGGTGTTACACATAAGAAAGGTAACACCAGAAAAGGAAAAATGCATTTTACAAAATGGCTGCTACAGAGCATCAAACCACATGTTGTGAATCATGGAATATCCACTAAAAATATGTAATTTAATTCATTTGTATTCTATTTTTTCACAATTACCTAAGAAAAAAGTAGGACATATCAGTGACGTCAACTAAAAGCTTCATATGAAATCATGAGCTAAATGAGAAAATTTCTTATAACTGAAAAGACACAGTGGACTTACCATGTGCTTTTTTCATAGATCCTCAGAAAATAGTTAAAAGGAAGTCATCAGTGTGATTTTTATTTCAAAATAAGAGTTTTTTGTTATGTGGTAACACCAGTGACACGACTCCTGGGGACAACAACTTCCATTATATATTTTATTATATTTATTTGGCATTTGTTTTCTTTGTGTCATTTAAATCATATATTTCATAGTCATGTACAGATTACTGCAGCTAAAACTGCAGAAAAACTTTTTTTCTTCAAAATATGGCACTCACCCTTTACACATGGCTGTGGGGACGAGCACGTCTGTTGTGCATGGAATTCTAGATAATTGATTTATTTTTTAAAGTAAAACTAAGTTGTAACCCTAACATGTTTAAGTGTAATATATCTGTAAACGCTAGGGACACAAAAATGGACGTTTCTGTAGAATGACCAATACTAATATATATATATATATATATATATATATATATTTCAGGGGTACGGGAAAAAAATCTATTCTTAGATGCATCACGATGCGGACGTGAACGATTCTGAATCGACAAATGTCGAATTCACAAATGTCAAAAATTGATTTTCTAAATATTTAATATATATATCGTGACGTTGACGGAACACAAAAGGCGGGACCTGGAAGTGTGGAAGTGCAGCGCCCGGACACTCTGTGAGGTGCACATAACAAAAACACACATGGATGATCGAGAAATCCGACCGGCTCTCTCTGCATTAAAAGCCAGGTTAGGTCAGGAGTCACAACCCAAATGATAAGAAGAGCCATGTTGTCCTTTCAACAAAAATCAAACCACCTTGGCAGCCACAACATTTATGTCCAGTATGTCTCAGTATGTCCTGCTATAAGTTAGGTTAAAATATAAATGAAAATGCGGATTTACCTCGCTCTGCTTTCAGCTTTAGCTATAGTCGCTTCTTTAAGTCGCTCCAGCTTCTTGTTCGAATTTTCCTGTTCCACCTTAAATTCTGACTGAGGTGCCGAATGTAAATGCGGCACCATTTAAGGTGGAACGGGAAGCGACTTAATCTTCGCAACTTTTTAGTGTTTGATAGTCTCTCGTTGCAGATGTAGCTTGCAAGTAAACCAACAGCAGCGCTTATGAATGCAAATAACGCATCGTTGCTAGGTGACCTGCAGTCGGAGAACGCCAGTTCTCAGTCGTTGCGAAACAGGGCTTTCGTGCTATGTTGCACATGTCCCGAAGATATTTTACTGACACAGCGATCCCCACCACTCTCTACAACGAGACCAAAACCGAAGTTATAAAATCACTAATGAAAACGGGCAGGATGGCTGTAACGTGCTGCGTGGACATCTATTGCCACTGGATCTTATTTCACTGTAACTGCGCATTTTATTGCAGATGAGTGGCAGCGTCTCATGTGCTCCAAGCAATAGCAGTGAATGAGAGCCTTCTAGTTCTCTTGCCACATCACTTCCATTTGATTTATTAATAGAAGATATTGGAAGTAAATGCATTACGGATCATTACAAATACTTTGCTTTAAAAGTACCAAGTCCTGACACAGTAAGAAAATAGAAATCCTGTATAGAAAAAAAAGATGAATCGATAATCGTTTTATAATCACATCGCAGCCCTCTGAATCGTAATTGAATTATATATATGTATTTATTTTTTTGTTCCTAGACCACAGTGAATGGAGAAGCAGGCAAGCAGGTAAAACTCTGGCTGGCTCAGACCCCAACAAAATGAAGATTTACCCACATCTTTCTCCTGAATGGTGCATTCCTTGCAGTAGTAAGCATCAGACACTCCTGGGCCTCCACATATCACACAGCGTCCTTGGTAGGACCCATAGTTACATTCGTCGCAAATGCGTACAAGCGTGCAAGGCCTGACGTAAGAATCACAGATAACACATTTCCCATCACCTGAGTGGAAAACATATATAAATGAGCCATTACATTAAGCTTACATAATGTTTAAACAGGAAGCACAGTTTCTCAGTACTTTAATCAAAGTTTCACTAGAAATCAAAATTCTCACACACTTCATCAAAATGTTAATCAGCTAATCCTCTAAAACTTACATTTCTCACAAAGCCTCCCAATAGCTGTAAAAAATAAAAAGACAAGAAAGTTAGTTAAAGGAGAAAATTTCTGCATAGCTCAGAAGTCGTTCTGAGTGATTTAATATGACATGATTCCAGTCTAGAAAATCACCGAGTCATTACTGTTCACAAGGTAGCAAGAAGCGTTCAATGCATCTAAAAACTCAAACCTATTACATTAACTATTACATTGCGTATTGAAGTTGTTTACTGTAGTTTTAAGATAAGGATTTGGCTTAAAATCTATTGTTTAAATAAACTGTGTGGAAAGATATAAGATCATATGCACAATTTAAAACATTCTGTACAGAGAACAAACGTAAATATGGCTTTTTTGCTAAATGTAGAGCACAATTTCTATTTATTTGCTAAGTTTAACATATTGGAGAAAATAAAACAAATGTGCCATAACATTTGCACAAACCACATTTTATGGCTTTTTCCCCCAGTTTGTTAAATTCAGAAAATAACTTGTAATAAACAATGCAATAAATGTGCAGAGCTGAGTTCTCTGTAGAAAGTGTGTAGCTACTTATTTTAATTTTTTTTTAATAAAATTGGTGGAATTCCCCTTTAAAGTGAGTCATGCACCAGAACAAATTGTAAGCGACAGACTCCTTCAGCTCCAGAAGCGTCATGAACGTCATGAGCCTTTGTTGTTTGACAGAAAACGTAATTATTTCTTATGAGCAACAGCAAAACGACAAAATACACTCTTTGTAACTTGCACGCACAACTCCTTTCCACCACAGTTCAAACACACCAGTGCTCCTCTGTATTAGAGTTACAACAGCAACGCTTGCTATGCTAATGTAGCGAGCAGCGTGGCCAGCGAGCTGGCTGTACAGCGTATCATTTCAGTCCAATTACTGAATATATTTTTGGCTTGCGAAACCTGCTACAACAAAATACGACCATCTGGCTGATGGTACATCTTACCGACACCAGCCTGCTTCCTGCAGAAGATCAAATCTGGATGATGTTTAGCCATTGTATATTAGCCTGTAGTGCAGCCTGCAAGAGTAAGGCTCATCGACCTTTTACACGACAGTCCTAAAGTACAGCGCCACTTGCTGGATAGGCTGTCCACGGTGATATCAGGGCCGGTGTTACGGTAAATTAAATTCCCCGTTTCCCCTCATTGCGCATGTCGAAATCATGACGTCTTTAGTTGACGCACACATACCTAGATGCCGCGTTGGGTCAACTGCGTCGTCATTTTGAGGCGGTCAACATCACTGTTGGACTGCATTCACTACAGAGCGGCAGTTTTAGAAAGATTTTGTCCAAATTTGTTCTATTTCAAGAATATCGCACTCAGAAAGCGGGATAGGATTATATAACGGAGAGGACGCAGCGATCCACGCTCATGTTTGTGTGTGTTTATGTGTAGATATGGCCGTGTGGTTCGTGAGGCACAGAGAACCTGTTGTGATTGTTTTTCGTCTTTACAATGATGGTTAATGCTTTGTAGCTGGGTAAGTTATAGCATTCCTTAATCCGTGTAGATATTCATAATAGATTAACTTTAGCACCTACTTACACGAACCTGAAGTTAGCTTCTTATTTGCTAGCTTGTTCGAATTTTCCCGTTCCATCTCTGTGTAGCCTATGTCTTTAAGTCTAGGCTAAAAACCCACTTGTTTGGTCAAGCCTTTGGTAATCATTTTTTCCTGTTAGATAAAAGGTGCAGATCTGGGGGTTCATGGACATAGAGTTTTATGGTAAACTGGAAGTGTTGGTGCCGTTGTCCCGCTGCTCTCACGAGTTCACTCAGGTTTGCCGACGGTGGAGCGGAGGGGCGTCGACATCTCAGGGAGCCCTCATGTCTCTGTTACCTTCTGGCTCTCCCGTTTAGATAGGCTGTAATAACGACCTGCCGAAGTCTCTGCTGCACTCTGCTAACCCTGTATACTGCAATCTGTCACTTTTTACAGAACTCTCTGTGTGGTTTCTTTTTCTTTGCCGAGCTGAACTACTGCTCATCCTGTGCAGTCTCAGTCTGTTGCTTCTTCTTGCTTGATCGGGTACCCACTACTCGCCAGCCTTCTGGACCGGTTTGACCACCATGGAGCTTCTTGCTATACAACGCTGTGCAGACCTCACCTGCATGAACTGACCCTTCTGATGATACTGATACTGCTGCACAGACTCAAACTATCTAATTATAACCATTGCTTCACCTGTTTTTCCTCGTTTTTGTATTTTATGATGAGTTCCTCTATTGAGTCTTGGCTCCTCCCAAGGTTTCTTCCTCGTGCTCTCAGGGAGTTTTTCCTTGCCACTGTCGCCATGTGGCTTGCTCATGGGGGCTTGGACCCGGATTTTTCTGTAAGGCTGCTTTGTATGGAGTGAGATTACTGTCTTTAATGTGAGAGCGCAAAGACAAGGTTAAATCGAGTAAGTCAGAAAAACGAGTGCGCAGAATCAAGAAAACCGAGCGCAAACAGCGACACCAAGAGCACAGAAACAAGAACTGCGTGCTTCAGACGCAGCACACCGGGAGTTTAGTGTGCTCGCTTATCGCAGCCCTGCGCTCGCGCCACTGATTTCAACTCACGTTTCACTTTTTGCACGCTTCTGAAATTTCTGCTCACTTCATAACTACAGCATTCCTGTACGTCAGCGGCCAAGGCTTGGTACCTGATTACCTGAACTGTCAATTGCAAGCGTTCACAGTCTGTGACTGCCTGAATTTGTTGCCAGTGTTTTGTTTTTTTTTCCCAGTTTGAACCTTGAATTATCTGAATTATACACATTCAGCAACTGTTTTTCAGTCTTGCCTTAGTTTATTGAAGAAATAATTGATTAAAAGTATGGACTAATTTATTTATTATATCATTAAGGAGGCCGACAGCAAAAGCAGACAGCTCAGATGTGAGACAAGAAGCAGCTCAAAGGTGTGAAGTCAATTAATTAGCTGAACGTTTAATAATAAGTTTTATTTAAAAAAATAACAGGAATTGTACAAAGATATCTTTAATATAACCTTTTTCCCAGCCTTGATGACATCTTGCAAAAAAGAATTGCTGACCAGCTGGACAAATATGAAAAATGTCCAATCTGCATCACAAAAGCTAACTTTCTCCAGCGTGGTCTTCAACAATGGCAGCGACAAAAGACAAAAGAAAAGCACTCCACAATGCTCCATGCATGTGTGTTATATGTGGGTAAAGCCAGTGTGCATACAGGAGCATTGAAGGAATGTTTAACTGGCAATTTGTTAATGATTCACCATTGTTTATTTGGATATTAATTATTTTACATGCTTTTTATCTCATCAGTAATCACTTTCAACCTATTGAAAGTACTTGAAAGAATTTTATTCAGTTTTATGGTGTGCTTTCCATATTCTGAGAGGGGTTGCATTAGTAGTGCTGTTCAAATGTAATACACTTAATTTCTTGGCAGACATGATGTCAAGAATTAAAACACATTTCTTTAAACTAAGCTCTGACCAAAAAGGGAAGAATCCCATCTACTCAGTAATTGTCCTTGACCACTGGTACTTCAAGTATTGATTTATAATTATTACTAGTAAATATATTTTATAATTTTTTTTGGCCAACTTAATTGTTGTGTGCATATTCTTAGGACTTTTGGGGAATCTTTTGGTGCAAGCCTGACTCATTTTATTTGCTTTAGCTTTTAATTGCAATAAAGTGATGTTTCAGGTGACAAGTGCCACAGTTAAAGACCTACCTAACCTTACCCATGAAATACCATCCTGTGGATATATAGGTGTCGTATGCATAGGCAAAAAGAAGCAAAATATAAGGTTTGTGCATCAGTTTCTGTTTAAATATGAAACATGATTATTCTAAACTTCTCATTCTTGTGAACGACTACCTCTAGATAATTGTGTATTACACACTGTATTGGAACTTTTCAAAGGCCAAGCCAGAAAATACATATCCTTATCCCAATTTATGTATGTATATATGTATAGATAGATAGATTACAACCGCGAACGCTTGCAATCGACAGTTCAGGTAATCAACTACCAAGCCTTGGCCGCTGACATATTTCCTGCTGTAATTATGAAGCGAGCAGAAATTTCAGAAGCAAGCAAAAAGTGAAACGCGAGCTGAAATCAGTGGCGCGAGCGCAGGGCTGCAATACACTAAACTCCCGGTGTGCTGCGCCTGAAGCGCGCAATTCTTGTTTCTGTGCTCTTGGTGTCGCTGTTTGCGTTCGGTTTTCTTGATTCTGCGCGCTCGTTTTTCTGACTTACTCGATTTAACCACATCACATCAAAGACTGTAATCTCACTCCATAGCTTTGTGACAACACCTGTTGTAAAAAGCGCTATATAAATAAACTTTGATTTAAATGCTTCATTGATTTACATTTTAAACTATGCTAGTTTTCAGTTTGTATGAGTACTGGTTGTTTTTCTTTAGTTAGCTTTAGTATGTGCATGTTTTTCTGTTTTTCTTCATACTGGCTCTCAAGACATTAATTTCTTTTTTCAAAATAAGACATTTTTGTTACTCTTTGCTGTATTTGTGTTTATTTGCATATATTGTAATGATAGTGATTTTTAATCCAAAAAGCACTCGTTGACAGTATAAGTGGTTTTAAATAATGTGCTTAGGTGCCTGAGACTTTTGCACTCTGCTGTATATATATATATATATTTACTTTTTTAATAGTGTACCTTTTAGTTGTACAGTATAATATAAATTGTAGTATACACTCAACAAGAACACACACACACACACACACACATACATTATTTAAGCAATAGAACACGGGAGGGAGTGTGTTAGGTCATCACAGCTGTGATGTTATTCGCGATAACACACAACCTCGAGTGTTCTATTGCTTTTATACAACAGCTAAATAAATAAAGTAAGAAATAAATAAATTGGGCCGTGAATGTGGCATTTAATATGTTTTAACGTTAGCAATCCTTCCGCCAAATTATAGTTCCTTAACAAGCAGCTTGCTACGTCAGAGTCTCCTTACACAGACCAACTGACAGTTTCGGAATTCAGTGTAGTCTCATCTTCAGAGTCTGACCAAATCGGCTGTAGGTCAAATGTAATCTTAAAAGTATCAATTTTCTGTTTCGGCGCAAAGTAAGAAGTAAAATCTCCTCAGCTGTCAAAGTCGTTGCTTAGCAACGGTGTCTCAGCGGAGTGATACAGTGTTTGTGAAAAACCCGTGCTGTTATTTCGCCATAGAACGCTTCTCAACCAATCAGCTTGCGTGGCCGGAACTACCGGAACTAACTGTTGTTTGTGTATGTGTGCATTATATATATATATATATATATATATATATATATATATACACACACACACACACACACACAGCCTGGCTAAAAAAAGGTCACACATTCTAATATTTCGTTGGACCGCCTTTAGCCTTGATTACGGTACGCATTCGCTGTGGCATCGTTTCCACAAGTTTCTGCAATGTCACAACATTTATTTCTGTCCAGAGTTGCATTAATTTTTCCCTTGTATTGATGATGGGAGATTTGGACCACTGCGCAAAGTCTTCTCCAGTACATCCCAAAGATTCTCAATGGGGTTCAGGTCTGGACTCTGTGGTGGCCAATCCATGTGTGAAAATGTGTGTCTCATGCTCCCTGAACCACTCTTTCACAATTTGAGCCCGATGAATCCTGGCATTGTCATCTTAGAATATGCCTGTGCCATCAGGGAAGAAAAAATCCATTGATGGAATAACCTGGTCATTCAGTATATTCAGGTAGTCAGCTGACCTCATTCTTTGGGCACGTAACATGCTGAGCCTAGACCTGACCAACTGCAGCAACCCCAGATCATAGCACTGCCCCCACAAGCTTGTACAGTAGGCACTAGGCATGATGGGTGCATCACTTCAGCCACCTCTCTTCTTACCCTAATGCGCCCATCACTCTGGAACAGGGTAAATCTGGACTCATCAGACCACATGACCTTCTTCCATTGCTCCAGAGTCCAATCTTTATGCTTCCTAGCAAATTGAAGCCGTTTTTGCCGGTTAGCCTCACTGATAAGTGGCTTTCTTAAGGCTACACAGCTGTTTAGTCCCAATCCCTTGAGTCGCCTTCGCACTGTGCGTGTGGAAATGCTCTTACTTTCACTATTAAACATCTCCCTGAGTTCTACTGTTGTTTTTCTATGATTTGATTCCACCAAACATTTAAGTGATCGCCGATCACGATCGTTCAAGATTTTTTTCCGACCACATTCCTTCCTCAAAGATGATGTTTCCCCACTGTCCTTCCACTTTTTAATAATGCGTTGGACAGCAATCTCCTCTCCTGTTTTCCCTGCTTGATGCATGCCAGTAATTTGACCCTTCTGAAACAGATGAACATCTTTTCCACGACCACAGAATGTGTCTTTCGACATGGTTGTTTAACAAATGAGAAGCTACTCACTGCAGCAGTTAGGGTTAAAGAACTTGTTGCCTGCTGAAACAATCACCCATGCAGTAATTATCCAATGGGAGGCTCTTACCTATTTGCTTAGTTAAATCCAAGTGGTGACCTTTTTTTGGCCAGGCAGTGTATACATCACTTCTTATCACATAAGGAAATCTCTAGTTTGTTATTAATAAATGTGCTTAATGTCAAACTGCAAAGCACACACACATGATGCAAATGTATGAAACCTCAGATCTTCCACCCTTATTGTTAGTTATATAATATATAACAATATATTCTGTACAAAACAATAAATAAGTACATAACAAGGCAAAATAATACAGAAAAACGTAAGTTACTGTGATTTTTGTTCATAGGGCAAACTTCTTTGTCCTTGACCAAGTATCACCTCCACACTCCTGTTGGCAGAAAGCTGTTCTTTTTCAAAAGGTTTAGGAGTGGTAATATAGTTATAAAACACATTCAAAACCATATACAAAAAGAAAGGCATTTGGGAAAAAAATACAGCAGATGTCATTTAATCCATTACTGTATGACCCTGAGCCCAATGGACGTGCAAACAATAACGCACTTAAGAACTCATTTCAACTTCCAATATTTCCTGCCACACTGACTAAAGGAGTATTTACAAACAGAGTTGTTTACCCTCATGATAAGGTTGAAAAAGAAAACTAGCAACTGAACCACAAGTTAGATGTAGGGCCATGTCTTTGTTGTTATAAATAAATGGTGAGTGAGATAAATAAGGTAACATAAATAGAAACACATTTAAAGTAGCTCTGAACAGATGGGTAAACGTGTACAGAATTGTAAACAAAGTCTACAATGTCTGTAAGAGTCCAAATGTCCAATGTGTCCAAAGACCAGTGTAAATATTGAAGGAAGAAAATATTTCATATCTATGCTTTGTTATATATGCCCTAAAACGTTTGTTAACTAAGTGAAATTGGATTTCTGTCTTTCTAGTACATCAATATGCTCTACTTAGAACATGCTGGCTTTTCATTCAGCACACTCCTAACCAGAACTGACTGATCCACTAATGCACTGGTCTATGCTAACATTATGATTACAAATGCCTCTTGGTAGGGCATTGAGGATGTGTATCAGAGAATGTACAATTTCAAAATTTAGAGTGACTAAAAACTTATTTAAATACACCACATTTTATAGTGAAACATACAGGCCCTTAACATGATTTACTCTCTCTACATCTTGTATTATGCAAAAAGAAAAAAATGTTAAAATACAGAATGAGTAATATGGTAGAATGGGTAGAATGAACAAGCTTAGTCATAGTAGATTGGCAGGCCACAGAAAATAAAATAGCGAAGTTCGTTCAGCTACCTTCACCAAAAAAGTCCTGAAGGAAACACAAAGTGCTTATTTTGATCTTGTGCTGAATCAAGGCTTGTTTTCAAAGAATTAAATTTTTAAATAAAAATTCAAAGGTATACTTCAACGTTTTTAAACATTATCTCAAATCTGCCCCATCTGTCAATTGACAATAATCTTGACAGATTTCCCCATACTTAAGGAACAGGAAATTGGCATATAAATAATTTAGTATTGCTATTTTATGATTAACAATTTTATTGTATGCAACTATTAAAGTAGGCCAGAACTGCTAAAGTGGCCAGAACTGCTGATCAGCTGTCTTGCTTCCTAGCTGTCAATACTTATTAGCTCCCAATGGAAGACTCCCAGCATGTTATCAAATAAACACTATTCACTGCTGCCCTCTAAAGATTTTATAGCACCAGTCATAATTTAAGACTTGTGACGTGTTGTTTTCATAAGACTAGATCTGCCAACCTTTAAGCATTTTGCGTAGCAGGTGCACATTTTAACAAAGTACGCTGATACGATTTGTCACTCTATGCAAAAAAAGCTGGTGATGCCTGTGAGTTCAATTGTGCGTGTGCAGTACTCAAATCAAACAGCATGACGCAGCAGCGTCCAGTCTGCCAAAAACTAAAAGAAGAGCTCGACCAATCATAGCACTGGGTTCATTCCCTGGGGATGACAAATAGACCACTGTAGTCATGCGTCATTCTGTCGTCCTTGTTTTGCCCATATTAGGAACTCCGGGTCTAAGCCCCATTTCTCTATGGCCAGAATGAATAGGGTTTTCGAAAAACTGCCTCTGTCGCACCCTGTGTTAAATAAAAATGTTCAGTTTTGTCCTGTGTACATTTTTCTCCTGAATACCACTGGATCTATCTAAAGAGCTATAGTACTAATATTGCTACATGCGAGCTAAAGCTACTGCGCATCAATTTGATGTCACTAAGCTACGTGAAACTAAGGCGGGCTATGGCGGTGCTCTGACGAGCTGTGGTCTCTTATCGAAATGTTCTACCGTAGCGCATAATTACAGGTATACCCGTAAATAAAACCTCTGGGCGGGATATTTTGATAGACTAAAACTCCTTATCAAAAATACTACCCGTATTAAAACTACGAGGCTGAATTAAGCTTCTTTTTTCGCCAGCTTCTTGTTTGAATATTCCCGTTCCACCTTAAATAGTGCAGCAGCTGTGACTAGCTATTACAAACATTAGAAAACGAGACAAAATACTGACCTGTTGGTTCTGTGAAATAGCAAAAATAAGTTAATGTTACTCAGCCGTTAAGCAGAAATAGAGAAACCTCCTCATACCATGCCTTTCAACCCTCCATGAAGCTGAAGTCAGGTTCTTTTTCGCCGGCTGCTTGTTTGAATTTTCCCATTCCACTTTAAATGGCGTAGCAGTTCAGAACGTGACTGCTGCACCATTTAAGGTGGAACGGGAAGAGTGGAACAAAAAGCTGGCTAATGTCCTAAGAAAATGTCCTCAGAAAAATGTTACCAGCATTAAAATAATAATTAGGATATTCTGAGAGCCTAAATCAGGTGATCAGCAGTAATATTAAGATGAGTCTGGATTAGCCTGAGTGCAGGTTCATTTGTAGATATTTTCAAATCAAGCTAAAAGGAAAGATGTATCGTGTTTCAGTGAGCATCAGATCAAGAACAGAGAACTGCAGGGAAACCTGCTGATTTTGTTCTCGCTTGTTTTCATCTGCCCTCAGCCTGTACTTGGAAATGTTTACTGCCAAAACCTGCTTAAGGAGACTGTCAGTCTATTGATGTGAATTTAGTGCACAGTAGCTTTAGCTTACATGTAGCAATATTCATATTTCAACTCTTTAACGACCTGGATTCAGAGGACCCAGTGGTATTCGGGAGAAGAATGTTCACAGGATAAAATGTATCTGGTTCTGAAAATTTTTATTTAACACAGGGTGCGACAGCGGCGATTTTTCGAAAACCTCATTCATTCTGGCCATAGAGAAATGGAGCTTAGGCCCAGAGTATAAGAACATGGCACAGAGCATAAGAACATGGCACCGACTACAAAATGATGACACAACTACAGTGGTCTAGGCGTAATGCCAATTATTTCAAGAGACTGCAAATCGATACCACTACGAAATGTTTTTTTTATCCCTTTCGTTCCCCCTCGTCACGCCTACTGACTGATTTCACAAATGAGGACAGTGCTTTTAACTGCTTTGCAAAGGTAAATCGGCTGGAGTGGATGTGGGAAGTTGAAATTGTGAATTAAGAACGTTCTCAATGAATTCTCAGTGAATGTTCTCTCGTGAACTGAGAAATAACATTACCTAGAAAGTTAACAGGATGTGCGCACATGTTAAACATGACATCAGATGAGGACACTAATAGAGCAGCAGACCCTGCAGAACTACCATACTTGATGATATGACAGCAAGGGGCGAAATGACCATGTGCTAAGCAAAGTTTTTTTGTGTGTGTGCTTTTTTTTTTTAACATTACTTTTTGTGCTATGCAAAATATTTTCCCAAGATCTGTAAGACAAGAGAGGTGTCTCAATAAATGCATTTTCTGCTTTCTTTTATTTCCATGTATTTGCCTCAACCTAACGGATGAAAACACACCCAATTCATGTTGTTTGTTGCACCATAATCATGACTGATTTGTGGGAAATAACTGCGGTCAGCATAAATAATTGTGATCAGGTGATTATGTAATAATTGTGACAGGGCTAGGTATAGATGTGGCAGATAGAGGTTCAATTTAAAAACACTGGAGTATTCCTTTCAGGTCATGGCCCAAGCTTGGGCTTTATTTTCCCAGCTGGGGGCTCACAATGTTTTAAAACACGTTATTTTATCCCAACAGTGCACTGGAATTTTTCCCATCACTAATCCTATACCACGATTAGTTTTCTCTTTGGTTACAGATTACTAAAATATGTTTTGTTTATGCAGTAATACCTCATACCTCACTCTTCCTTTTAGACATCCTTAATGCATCCTTAATCCATTTCAAACTTCTTACACTGTATTTTTGCCACTGGTTATAAGGTGGATCATTTTCCCCCCACTGCTCTCTGAGAAGGAAAATTCAGTAGTTCTTAAGGGTAATTATGGTCATCCAAAACTGGATCTGGAAACTTGACAAAAGTGAAGATGAAGTGGGCTCTCTATGTCTGGGATCCATGAATCTGGAAAAACTGTGAAAAAGTTAATAAAAATTATAAGGAACAATATAATGAAATCTGAGTTTTTTCTGAGCTTACAATACAGCTACAACTGAGTACAGTTTCACATTAGTAATTATAATGACTGCTGAATAAAGTCTAATAAGAAGGAAAAATGTTCTCCAGATGGAGAGGTGAACATGATAAGGACTAAATTAGATGAGACTGTGCTGGACAACTAGAGAAAATCTTACACCTTGACAGTTTGCTCTGAATCCAATATAAAATGTACTCCAGTAGATGATGTGTCACTGTGAAACAATTAACAATAGTAATACTATGGTAATATATATACACATGTACGTACAAACGTACACACACACACACAACTTGTATGCAAAGGGTGGGCACTCCAGGCCTTTACACCCTCTGCAGCAAATTATTAAATAAAAACATTTTGAGCAAATATTTATATTATTTCATTCTTGATTAACTTAAATAAACAAAAAAATAAAGTATTTGCAAAGAGTTTGGACACCCTAACTGAGTCAGTATTTGGAAATGCTTTTTGTAGCCAGCTAGGAATCTTTCTGTACTTGTTTTAGGAATTCTAACCAACTCTTTCTTGCAGAATACTTTTAGTTCTACTGTAATCTTGGTCGGTCTTGTATGAAAATTCTCAGTGATGTCTGATGTTTATTTAGTCAGTAGACTATACAGACCATTCCAAAAGCTTCAGCTTTATGTAGTACATGGTGGATTTTAAGGTATGTTTTGGATAATTGTCATGTTGTAGAAGCCAGCCTCTTTTCAGCTTCAGTTTCTAGACTCACTGTGTCACATTTGCTTCCAGAATTTGCTGATATTTATTGAATTCCATTCTTCCACCTACCTATGCAGTGTTTCCTGTGCCACTGGCTGCCACACAACCCCAAAGCATAACAGGTCCACCCCTATGACTAACAGTTGGCAAGGCGTTTTTCCAAGACATGCTGCTCTTTTTTTTTTTCTCATACATGCATATGGTGAACTGAGAGTGGCTGGCATATCTGATACTTTAGACATTGACCTTTGTGTTGAGATCACAGGTAAGGTTTCCATCTGTTGACTCTTCCATGTTTGTGCAAGCAATGCTGCACAGAAGAACGGTGCACCTTCTGTTTCAGCTAAACCTCCCTGAAGGTGCTTTGCTGTCATATGGTGTTTTTTCTTTGCCTTTCTGGTCAGCATATGAGCAGATCTATCTGAGAGTTTTCTTGGTCTTTCAGAAATTGTCTTGACTTTCATTTCTTACTGGCATGTGGAAATTGCGTGCTGGAAGCGATTTTACTTTTTATATCTTTCCCTGCTTTATAGGAATCAATCAGCTTAATTGTCAGATCCTCAGTCAGATGCTTAGAGGAGCCCATGATTGTTGAGTAACAATCATAGTTTGAAAAGTCAGAGAATTTATTATGCTCCAGAACTGTCAGCAGCTGACAATTCCTAATGACAATTCCTGACCTGCCTAGTCAGTCCTAAAGAGTCAATTAAGGCCCAAGACGGACGAGTGTCCAAACTTTTACACATGCCACAATTATGTTTTTTTTTTCTATTCCTTTAAGTTAATAGGATATAAAGTAACTGTGAATTAACATTTGCATTAAAAAAGCAAAACGGTTTTGCTGCAGAGGTTGTGTTTACTTCATTTCAAAAATCAACAAAATACAGATACCCAAGTTACCCAAACTTTTCCTTACAGCTGTATATTAGGACTGCACAATGATATCAGAATTATTGCAGATAATTTTTAATGAATTAAAAAATATTGGCATCTGACATATGTTTAGATGTAGCCAATATTCCCAATCTATATGTGATGATGTGTTTACTGTACTCTGGAACAACAGAATGGGCTACTGTGCTAAAATGTCTGCGTTTTATTCATTTTTTTGTATTTATAAACTTATGTTACATTTCTTTGTAATGTTAACCCAGGTACATCTAGTCCCAATGTCTCTCTCTCTCACACACACACACACATACATTATCTAAGCTGCTGATCATCCTGGGTTGCGGGGGTTGCTGGAGTCAATCCCAGCAGTCATTATTATTATATAATATTATATAATAACATTATATTTTATATTATGCTACATGTGGCACAGAACATGCAAACTCCACATAGAAAGGACCCTGGTTGCTCGGCCAGGGAATCAAACCCAGGCCTTCTTGCTGTCAGGTGACAGCCACCCTAGTAGAACCACATTTTGCTGCAATAACATGTTTAAGTCTGTTGGGGCAAGTTTCTACCATCTTTGCACATTGTTAGGGAGTGATTTTCACCCATTCATCTAGGCAGATTTGCTCCAGGTTGGTCAGGTTGGTTTAATGACACTTGTGGACTGCAATTTTTAAACATTGCCACCAATTCGGAGTGGATTGGATATTCACCTTTTTGTTATTCAACCTGTGTTGCTTTGTGATGGTCACTGTCGAATTTGCAGTGTTAGGTTTGTGCCACACAGTGTTTAATTTTGGCCAAAAAGCTACATTTTTTTCTCATCTGACCACCTTATCTCACATTTTAGCTGGGTCACTCTGATGCTTTCTGGCAAAATCCAGATGTGTTTTTTTTTTCTTCAGAAATGGCTTTCTTCTAGCCACCCTCCCATACAGGCAGCTGTATGCCAAGCTCTTGATATTGTTAACTGGTGCACCGTCACTCCAGTTTCAGCCACTGAACACCATAGCTCCTTCAAAGTGATTGTTAGCTTCTCTGTGGCTTCCCTCACAAATCCGCTTCTTGCTCTAATACTGAGTTTTGAGGGATGGCCTTGTCTAGACACTGCCAGGATGGTACAATGCCACTTTCATTTTCTCACAATTGATCCAACAGGGCTCACTGGGATATCCAAACACTTGGATATTATTTTAAAATAAAATACGATACAACACAAATCTGATGACTTAATGTTTTTCTTTTTTTTTGCAAGGCACTGTATCTATATAAAAATTATAGGCCATTATAGGCCATGAAAACAAGATTTTAAGCATTTCAGATTTACAGTCTGGTCCATAAATATTTGGATGCTGACAAAGTTATTGTTATATAAGCTGTCTACCATGGCATATTGGAGTCAAAAGTAAATAATAATTATAAAGCTTAAAGGGCAGACTTTCAGCTTCAATTTTAAGGACTTTACATCTTTAAGGAGCTCAAAAGAATTATATTAAAGTAATTGAACAGTTGGATACGGTTCCATGGCCAGGTGTGTGTTATTAGGTTAGTGTTATTTTCCCATTATTTCTCTAACAAGTAAACAGATAAAAAGGTCTAGAGTTGATTTCAAGTGTGGCATTTGCCTTTGGAATCTGTTGTGGTTAAATCTTCATGTGAAGTCCAAAGAGCTTTCACTGACAGTGAAGCAAGCCATCATTAGGCTGAAAAATCAAAACAATCAGAAAGATAGCAAAAACATTAGGTGTGGCCAAATTAACTATTTGGTACACTCTCAAAAAAACAAAACAAAACAAAAAAAAAAGCAAAAAAAGAAATGCACTGTTAAGCTCAGAAAACAACTGTGGTGGATTTCAGAAAAATTCTTTCCCTGGTGAAGAAAAAAGCCTTCACATCAGTTGGCCAGATCAGGAACACCCTCCAGGAGGTAGGCATATCTAGGCCAAAAACATTTAAAAAATCCTGTACAGTTGTTGCTCATTGATGCTTTCGGAAAACATAGTACTGGTCTTTTCCGTACTTTTCTTTCATCTTTCCTCTGTATCCACCTTATTTTTCACATGACCACTGTGTTTCACAATTATGAAGAATTCAGTTGAGGAATGGAAGTGTCATTTGTTGCCATTTTTAGGGTAGTCAAAAAGGGTGCTTATTTTTTAAATTATTGTCTTGTCTAAGTAAATGTCTCTATGGCATTCTGAGATAACATGTTCTCTGCACTTTGAGTACTCATTATTTAATTCCAGCTTCAATATGCTGTGGTAGAAAAGGTAAAGCAACAATACCTTTGTCAACATCCTAATATTTATGGACCTGACTGTATATTGCTGTGATAAACTGAGAGGGAGTTTAGATGAATTTTTCAAAAACCTTGCACATTTACTGGCAATGAGTAGTGGGAGGGCAACTTTGCATGTAAATCTCAAATATGGACTGATTTAAATTATAGATCAGCCGAACAGACATCTTAAGTCATCACATAAGAATTATTTAGTAATTTATTGGTTGTTACTGGAAATGAGTTTGTTGCCCAATGTAATGAAATACAACACCTCAGCATCCTCTTACTATGGACCATTTAGGATTTCTATATCTACCATCAGCTACCACCAACACAGAGCATTTGTCCTCACCCATTGCTGCGACTGGAACAATGACACAAGCCTCCTAATCTCTAATCCACTCATTAGCGCTGGCATTGCTGTCGCTCTCCTCCTCCTGCTCATCCTTTGCTCCTTCTTCCTCCTGAATCTCTGATGTCTTGATGTTTAATGGATGATTAACAAGGAGAACAGTAAAAATGAGCCGCAACCACACAGGTGACAAAAAAAAGAGGAATGGATATAAAAACGGTCAAAAAAAAAGGTAGTGCAGATGGATACCAAGGATTTTGTAGAGAGAAAACATACACCACTATACCAATATATGACAGTGAATGGGCAGTGAAAAAAATGGCAACATACCAAACGATATACAAATACTGTACAGTACCAGTAATAATAATCCGTTTGTGGAGAGTATGGTATTGTTGCTCTGACAGCTAGACACAAAGTGGAAAATTGGAACAATAGTGTGTATAAGTTGTCTGCTCTAACCTTAGTCCTGTGGCTCTGCTCGATCCCAATACCACCACCAGATGTGTGCAGCTCTTTGGACACAACACAGAGGAACTCAGCCTGGTCCTCTGTGCCATAGCTATAGGACGAACCAATGTTCACCATCTACACCACCGAAAAGGGATAAAACAAGAGGGTGAGAAGAGAGACAGTCTTCCATTACAGCAGGCCCTCAAAACTCAAAAGGTGTTATGTTTGTAAGGGAAAGTCAGGCTGGATCAAATGCTCTTATCTTAGCCCTTAGAGTTACTACTTTCATTTCACAATGCTGTTCAAATGTAAATACATGATTACACAATTATGTAATTATGATTATGATAATTCTGATTACAGAGGTATGTGGACATTCCTCCTAATTACTGAATTCAGGTGTTTCAGTCACATATAAACAGTTGTATAAAATCAAGCATACAGCCGTCTCTATAGACATACACTGGCAGTAGGGTGGGCTGTACTGAAAAGCTCAGTGACTTCAAATTCACTGTCATAGGATGCCACCTTTGCCGCAAATCAGTTTGTTAAATTTCTTTTTTAAATTTGCTTTGTTAAATTTCTGCCCTGCTATAAGTCCCAGCCAAGTGTAAGTGCTATTATTGTGAAATGGAGGGATCTTGGAGCTAAAACAGCTCAGCCACCAAGCAACAGACCACTCACAGAGCGGGACTGCCGAGTGCTGAAGCATATAAAAATCGCCGATCCTCTGTTGCATCACTCACTAGAGTTCCAAACTGTCTCTGGAAACAACAACAGCTCAAAACTCTGTGCAAGGAGCTCAGAGAGTCATGTAGTGCAGCCACATAGCTGAGCACTGCTACAGACTGCCAACAGGGAGAGCCAATAAATGCTATACTCATCTAAATTTGATGAAATAAAACTTACTGTAACAAACTTGACGTTTTCAAACTAAAAGATACAAGGTGAAAAAAATGTAAAAGATGTTTTTTCTTTACACAAATCAAGATTAAGTATGAACTGAAAGTTTAGAATCTGCACTTTCAATAGTGACATACTAACTTTTGAATTATACCATGCTTTTACTGTTGCCAGCAGCAATTAAGTTCATGAAAGCAATTAGAGCAATTAAGCAATTAAGAATCATGAAATCTTAAATTTCACTATTATTAGGTTTGATTATTTTGGTACAATTCAGAATTATTTTTAAAAATGCGATGAAATACACAAATGCAACTAGAGAGGCTATTGACACAGTAGTGGAATAACAACAATACAAATTTTTAAACTGTATAAGCACATACTTCATTAATATTTTTATAACCGATTGTTACCGAATAATGCATTTTTATACCCCTCGTCCTAAGCGACCCTGACACCACATTATATGCGGGTATCATTTTTGAACATCAGATAATTCTAATGGACTCTGAGTTCTGGAGGACAGTGGGACACTGGGCAGGAGGAGTGAAATCAACTCAGTGTCAGTCCAACCCACAGTCCAGAGCAGTCCAGGGCGGGGCTTTCGGCAGGCTCGCACGCTGACCTGCTCAAACTTCCAGCCATCCGACATGGTGGACACCATCTGAGTCAGCTCCTCCTCCTGGCACTGCAACACCCTGTACACATGCTTTGGAGGCACCTGCCATAAAAGTGAGAGTGTAATGGAGAGAAAGAGAAGAGAGACATAAGACGTGAAGCATAGTGGAAGTGAAAAATGAAATAAGTATGTGTTACAGAGGAAAAATCAAGAGCAATGGTGAAAAAGTGCAAATAGAGAACCCTGGACCAGAGTAAAGAGACAGTGGGAGGGGGACTAAGGGTTGTTGGACAAGAGAGAGAAGAGTGTTGATAGTTGTGCAAGATGCTGAAGGAGTAGAAAGTAGGGTGAACTGATATATATTTGAAGCAGGGTCCAACTGATATATTATCTGGCAGATAATATTGGATGATATTAAGGTTAAACATTGATATAAGCAAAAAACATCAATATAAGTGTTCTTGTCTTATATTGTAACAAACAGACAACTTCATTACAACTTTATTACAAGATAGGCTGAAGCATAAAATCATGGCTAACATAGCAAAAACATGAAAAATGTATCATAACCTACATTTTTAGGACAACGTCAATTACGCAAAAAGCCTATGTGAAAAGAACTGATACAAATAAGATTATTATATTTTCTTAAGATCAAATTAATTAATACTAATCAAAGTTATGAGAAACCAACAAAACCACTAGGGAGGCTGGAAAGCTCCAACACCCTGTCACTACAATACTTATATTATTTAAGACTAAGGTACAAATGTAACAGTTAATCATATTTGATAATTCACTATTCATAATCACCCTATGAAGACATTAAAATGTGTGTTAATCAGAATATTGTTTAAGTATGACTGCTTGTTACCTGAGACGCTTTACAATCTCGCTCTAGGATCCTCTCTTTAATTAATTTTATTAATGGCGTAATGTTGTAAAACTCTGCCTCCTCCAAGACACCTGAAGTTATAGAACATTTTGTGTTATAAACATCCATTAATGTCTGGTTAATGATGAAAGAAAATATCCATAATAAAGAACACACCTTCTTCGGCCAGTTCCTTGTTATACACCAGTTTCCCATGTCGAAGGTAGTTGAGTATAGGACCAAAATATGTAGGGTCTCTGTCGATTACGTAGGCACCCGTTTCATCCTACACACAAAGATTCAGCCTCAGTCAGGATTTCAAGAGTGTCATAGATTTATCCTGACACATAAAATATCTTAATCCACTCAGTTATGTAAACCTTTATTTCATCATACCAGACCCTGGGTAAGGGGAAAGAACAGAAACAAAAGTGGCTGAGAATCCATAAATAAGACAACAGAGCTATGGAGTAGGGATGGGATGATATACTGACGTTAAAAACCCAATAATAATAATTCTAATAAACAGCCTCCTTGCAAAGCAGGTGCCAGTGTTGACTTGTACATAATTATAATCTGAACAGTGGACATTATTAGGGCTAGTGATATTTCTTTTTCATAGTAGTTGATTTTTTGGTGTATTGGAGAAAAATAAGATATTCAATAGGATGTCTTATGTAATACCTGTGGTGAAATGTTTTCAATGTGTATTAGTGTTTTTAGCTGTAATCAAGTAGCCTACTGATTATTTTGCAGATTAATTGAGCATTTCATTTAAAAGAATTATGCACGACAATTTAAAGGCCTTTAGTTTAAGAAATAAAATTAAAAAGCTTTTAAAAAGACAATTTAAAACATATAAAAACACTATGTGGCAAAAAAAATATATATAAATGGGAGTCCCTATTAGGCTGTTTTTGCTCTGGGAGGGACTTGCAACTACCAACTAATCACTGCTGATTCATTAAAATAGTACATTTTTATCCAATTATTAGCTGAATAATCAAGCTCAATCAAATAATTGAGAGCCCTAGTGTTTTTTTTTTTAGATAATCCCAGTATATTTTTCCTAATATGCTGATAATACTGAAAAAGGTGATTATTTTACTCACTGATGATACGATAGGAAATGTTTATATTGTCCCATCCCTTTTATGGAGACTATTAAAAAGTGGGAGAAAAGGGAAATGTAAAAATAAAGTACATTAGTCGAGGCTGTGACTGCAGGCGTCATCAGCAGAGTTACTTTCATTGCTTTACATAGATGAATGGCTGCTCTCTGCAGTGAATTAATCTTAAACGCTCTTAAGAGCTTACTTCATTGGCCTTTTCTTAGCTCCGAGATAAGGGCTCTTCTTTACATCATGCCCTGCAGAGAACATTACACAACCAAGTCTTAGCCTTGACTACACTGTAAGAGAGCAAAAAAGCAAGGAGAATGTATAAGGAGATGTGTGAGTGAGTGAGTGAGTGAGTGAGTGAGTGAGAGAGAGAGAGAGAGAGAGAGAGAGAGAGAGAGATGTACGAGTGTGTGCGAAAGAAAATACAGCTTGTATCTCATTAGGATGGAGGGGCAGACATTTGTGGTCTTGCATCACCAGACACTGTTGGTGCCACAGTGTACATCATAAAAGTCAGCCATTAAAGTGTCTCTTATTCTTTATCAACTCTATTCATCATAAGTGATTTCCATTACCAGTGACTGTGTTTGTAAATAACTGAGAGACATTTTATAGAACAAAAGTGCCACCAAAAAAAGACAAGACACTAACACAAAGTCATATAGTTCATATCAGTTAAAGTGTTCTTACCATGGGAAACCCAATTTCTTTGCTTTTGTTAAAATAACTCTTCTTAAAAATTCGAAACACTTTTTAATCGCAAGTCCAAACCAAGCTGCAAAAACAGCCTATTCTGAATTGCCACAACCGTGAACATATTTACTGTAGTTTAACCACCCAATCATGTTAAAGTAATGGAGTGTTGTTACTGTAGAAAGTCTGTAGCAGAGTTATTGGTGTTTTATAAATTTGTCATGAGGAGTCAGAAGACTGGACATTTAGATTCTGAGTTTTATTTACATGCATGCAGAGAATCATGCACAGGCACAGCTTGATCATTAGCCTGTCACCAGTCCACTGAACACAGTCTGACATGGTATAAGTAGACATACTAGAGGTTAGTAGAGGGGGCAAAAACGGAGAGGAAGAATGTGAGGGGTCTGGGGTCAGGGGAGGGTCATGAATACATTTAAAACATCAAAAGAGACACAACTGTAATACAATACAGCTGACGCAACAAAAAGACAACACAGAAAAAGGAAACGGTGAAAAGAAACATTTTCTCCCAATTCCCCCTTTGATTCTTCCTAATGGAGAAGCACAAAATTGTGTAACTGAAGTCCACAATGTCAGTCAACTGGACATCATTCTGGAACTCGATTTTGAACAGCAGGCACACAGCTCGTCACAGAGTGTCAAGATGTTCGTGCCATGCTAAACAGAAGCACTGGCTGGCTCCAGTTTATCTGTAACACTAAAAAAAAAGATATTTGAGCAGTAAACTGTTCATCAATGTTTGCAAGTTATTCATCCACAAGTAGATTATCTGCTATTCCCTGCTATTTGTCCCTCAGACAAGGCTGGAATGGTTACACACAGTGTGCTGAAATCTTCACCTACAGTGGGGTGTCCCCCATTGCCTAAAAAACATGCTTCTTCGCTGCGAGGTCTGTGCTTCACTCACCCCCTCTCCAACTGTCCCTAGGAGTTAATTCTGGGATGCAGACACCGCAATGAGAGACATATAACCAAAGGCGCATAGCTAGATAAAGAAAGTAATTTTTCAAGTAAAAGTACAAATAGTTTTCTCCCTTTGGTCCAGACAGCACCTGGAGCAACTGTGGTGTCTGAATTCAACCATACCCAGAGTTCCCAATTCAGGTAGTTGGACTGTAGCAGTGTTGCCTTTAAGCAGATCGTACAGTGCTTTTAAAATAGCAGCTTAAGAAACTATTCAAGGCCTATAAAAATTAGAGCAGGGCGATATGGCCAAAAACGTTATCACGATAAACAAAATTCATATCGTTCGATAACGATACATATCGCGATAAATATCAAATCACGATTTCTTTCACGTTTGAAGGCTGATTTTGCTCCTGGGTGGTTAATTGTGGTTTTAAACCATCACTTATGGTCATGATAATGGAAGAGTTTCTGAGCTGTTTTTATCAGCTTGAAAAGCACCGCTGCAATTTTTGTAATAGTCATGATTTAAGAAAGAAAACATTTTCAGCTGTCTGGTGACGAGCGCTCGGCTACCCCCTTACAAATGCTAAACAAGTGGCCAACAACAATGCTAAACTCTTTAGTTTCTCAACAACGTCAACTCGGTTCGGTAGGTCACTGCTGTCACTCCTACCACATCCATGTCAGAGCAGATCACAGTGTTCAGACACCAGCTAGCGACGACTGGGTTTCTCTATACAATCGTAGTAGTTTAAGGGGTGAACCGCAGTATATCTGACGCTCGCTGTGTAAAAGCATTATCTGCAGTGTGAATCTCTCACACCAGTCACAGAGTCCTCCTTTTAGGTATGTTTAAACTGAAAGCGGTGATTTTGTGTCTTGTTTGATCTACAGTATCATCAATTCACCGTGTTGTGCCGAAGCGCTGCTTCAAGTTAGCCAGCAGCTAAAAACAAGCTAGCCCGGAGAGATAGCGCTCTCCCGCTCTCCAATGCCTCACAGCTTCCTCAGTTTACTGTCGAACATGAACCCACTTCTTTCTTTCACTTCCGTTGCTCGAGAATGCACTAATACTAAAATATGACGGTTTGGCGCTGTAACACGGCGCTGCCGACGTGATTTAACACCGCTAAAGCTGTTAGGATGTTAGTAAAGAGGTGAGTTCGCTGTAGGACAGTACAGTTACACCACTGACCTCGTCACTCACACTCGGTCACAGGAGAACAGATCGCCGGTCGCTCCGCTCAAACAGGGACTGTATAACTCCGCGTTTGCTAAAGTATATTTGGCGACCCTTTTTTACTCGTGGCCCCCTCCCACTCTAATCAAGTCGAAAAACTCGGAAGTGCGCCTTCTCCTGGCCACAGCAGAGTGGTGTCACTTTTCTTGCGGTAGAAAACGCCACCAGGGCTTTCGCTAAAACGTGGAACTGTGAGAACGGTGTATTATATCAAACATTTATCGAACCTGTCTTATCGCTCTATCGAGGAAAAAAGTTATATCGCGATACTTATTGTTATCGTTTTATCGCCCAGCCCTAATAAAAATAGATAAAAACAGAAGATGGTGCTGCTGATGGCAGACTCTGTGAGACATTTTACGTATGTTAATGTCATTCACTGTGTGTCAAACCAAGTCAGTTGGAACAGGGAACAGTTACTGACCATTAGGGTCATCACCATCACCTAGAATTATTCCGGAGTTTGTTCAAAAACCTTCAGAGCCCTTTGAAATCCTCACAATGGATGCACTGGCTCTGCTCAACCTGCTACGGAGGCAGCAGTGAGGCAGACAAGCAGGAGTGCTCGTATGCCTGAGACAGCAAGGATTTCACACTCCTTTGGAGTCTTTATTTCTCTCTAGTCCCTGATATCTATGCAACAAAACAGAAGAACTCTTGCTCAACAAAACCAACAAGGATTTTTCAGCCACATCATCCTCGCATCATCTGTAACCATCTGGATGGCTTCCTCAACCTCACAAGAACAAGGATCACTAGATGTAGCCTGCTAACGATTCAGGACATCTACAACAGTGAGATAAAGCGTACTGGCAACATTACAGCTGACCCTTCTCATCCTGGACATCACCTCTTCCAGCCACTCCCCTCTGGTAAAAGATTCAGGGCTATCAAAACCAGACATTTTTTTTGTGTTTCATCTACTTCAACTACAATTGAAACCTTGCACTTTCAAGTTAAACTGAACCTAACAAACCCACTTACTGTATAACTCCTCTGTAATTTAATGCTTAAAGTGTTCATTTTTACAAATGTTCATATCATTCTGTGATATTCTGTATAGAATAGTTATTATATGTCTGCTCAGACCTGCATATGTATACATATTCATATCAGCATATGTACAGATATTTACGCATCTCTTTAGCTCCTTTCACACTGGCTCACATTAAGCATAGCATTATTTCAGGCAGGCCACAAAGTCAAGCTCCAGCGCCAATTTAAAATCACAAGCTATTATCAACTGATCTCAATCAGCTGACGGCTCAGCTGATTGCATGCTACACATTTATTAAGTTG